GCCACAAGCCTGAATTCTGGCACAAGCTAAATTTAGCAGCGACTAGCTTGTCACGCAGCCGCAAGGATGCTGAACCTGTTCGACAAGCCCAAGCCCACCCGCCCACTTGTCCATCTCGTCGCAATCCGCGATCGATCCGGTGTCTTTCCACCACACACATCCTGGTGCTGGCAGCAGGTAACATCGCCCGTTAAGGATACTGCAAGGTAAACCCAACTCCCAGTCGTCATGCAAATGCGAGCAATAGTTCAAAATGTCACAGAACCTAGGTTATTACGTCCTACCGATTGCCGAGCAAACACTGCCTGAGCCAGCAGCCATGACATATCCGAACTCTTTTGCATTTGACGACTTTGTCGTTTGGCCGCCGACCGAGCCTCCCGATTCGCTCGCCGATTACACGACCGACACTCCGACCGACCGTTAGCACAAAGCTGATCAATTCTATCCGAGCGATGGAATGAAGCATTGTCCATTATGAGAACCGATTTCGGTTCGGGCCATTTCCCGCAATGGGGAAGCAGCTGCTCGATAAACTGCTCGAACACAATACTGTCCGTGGAGCCTTGGAACACCTGAGCCAGAACAATACCGCCTTACGCATATGCCGGAGAATCTGGTACCTCCGGCCACGGTGGAATCGAGCAATTTATACCGGTGATACCCCCAAGGGAGACCATCCGGTACGCCTAAATCCAACCCCTCCTATCATAACCTGACTCGTCAATGTAGACCAGATGGTAAGAGCGAAACTCGGAGAGATTGTAGAGGTAGATGTCTCGCAGATCCGCGTTTCGTTCTTGCGCAACGCGGCGTGCAGCTTTTTTGGACTAACCCACTCCTTTCAGAGCTCTGCCGATGCTGTGCATTGTTACCAAGATGTTAAACTCGTCCCAGAGGAACACAACCATCTCGTCCTGGTACATGTACGGCTTCTCGATCAATCGGTCGCATAATGCACGTAGCATAGGCGGCGTGATGTTCTTTGGGCATCTAACCCCGTTCGCCGGCGCTTTAGTTGTTCCAAAGCATCGAAGGTTTGTTCGGATGGTGCGGATGGAGCGCGGGCTGCAGCCTGCTACGCTAGCAATCTGAACACCGGTCAGCGAATTACTTAGGATCATATCTCGAATCTGATGATGTTGAGAGAGCGAAAGATTGGGCGCCATGCTGCGGAATGCCGTATAGATCGTTCTCGCAGAGAGTGCATTGGGGAATGGCTGTAACGCATCGGGAGGTGCTGCGCTGGAGTGGAAGCCCTCACCACGACTAAATGAGTCGACAGGGTCACATGACCGCCAGTGGTGCGTCAAAAATAGCATGCTCTGGCGGCTAAATTGGCCAATAGAAAATGTGCCCTGATTTAGGCCCTGAAGATGAAGCAATGGCCCCTGCGTGGTGCCTGGGATCGTCCATTCAGCGACACGGTGACCGTACCCGAATTCGGTGACGGCAGACGACCCGACAGGCGGGTCGGCAGTCGAGCAACAGCAACCGGAACCATCGCTATCAGGCACTTGGTCAAGGAATCAGCCGCGACCTCTCTTATCTATTAGCCATTGATGGAACTGCAATGGAGCCGTATTCAGCTTATTATTTGACGACGGTTATCGTAAGAACAGCCATTTCTTGCCGCAGCCATTTCTAGCTGACAGTCCAGGTTGGCTGACGGTCATCGTAATACTATGTTGTTGCACTATCCTGCCTGGTACACAAGCGCGTGCGAGGGCACACGGTGTGGTTGGCTAGATGCATAAACGGTCCGTGCGCTAGAATGAGGTGAGAGAGGAAAGCGGAAGCCGATTTCGCTAGTGACTGTAGCGTTTCTACAAAAAGAAACTGCCCACAGCGTTCTCTCAGTTAATTATCAAAGGTTGATTCTGCCGAAAGAGAGAGAAAAAGAAGGAGGAACAAAAAGAGAGAGAGAGAGAATAAAAAACTAAAAAAGAAAGACAGAGAAATAGAAATAGAAATAGAAATAGAAATAGAAATAGAAATAGAAATAGAAATAGAAAGAGACACAGAAATAGAAACAGGAAGAGAAAAAACGGTAGTATTTCCCTATGGAGCGGGTCCAAGCTGACCGTGAGGCCATCAACTTGTATCATGCTAATTGTAGCGTCACAGACGTTGTCATCCTCATATTCGACCTCATTCGTCCTCATATCCGTCTTCATATCCATCCTCGTATCCATGCTCATATCCGTCCTCATATCCGTCCTCATCATGGCGCGCAAATTCGGAGAGCTCATTTTCATCGGGCGCGCCAGCCAAAGACGCTGTGACAATGAGATACCATTGGAGGTCCACCACATCCTTCATGTTCTGTGCCTCCTCCTCGCTATCAAAGCGGACGTGGAAGACATGGCCCGAGAGAAGCGGCTGGTGGGAATAGACATCCGTTGCTGCGATGATTCCCCCCTCTCGAGATTGGGTGCTTGGGTTGCCGTACCAAGTCGTCAGCTCCGCCAGCATCTCTTCCCCTTCCCCCTTCTCAAGGTGGATTACCCGATTTCGGGACCGCTCGCTTCGCTTCGGCATCCATCTGAATTGAAGGGTGACCGTGTACTTGCTGGTAGGCTCCGCCGATGTCAGTGTTGGTGAGATATCGAGGCACTGGATCGCCCAGAGCCCCTTGGCCCACCAGAAATGGAGTTGGGTGCTGATGGCCAACATATTCCACGCGTGGTCTGACGAGCCGACCCTTTCGGCAAGAAGTTCCTGCCATGGGCGATCGCCCAACAGGGACGCACCCATCATTAAGGTAATTGTGCGAGTTACGCGGCTGGCGGTCGAGTTGAACGAAAACGGCATAATATAGCAGGCCTCTGGATTGGCAGCTCCCGTGAGGAGACACGCGCGCCGGTCTCGATTGAAACACTATGATATATGGTGATGAGCTTCATGATTTGCACATGTTGTTATAAATGATACTGTTGAAACAATGTGAATGTACCTTCTGTGCAACCTCGCTGCGTACAGGCTCGTCATCAGTCGATTGTGATCTCCCAGGTGAGACATTTGTGTCATCGGGAAGAACTAGCTCCATAATTAGTGATACTGACAATGAGACGATTATTTATCACACGTCATGGACTGACATTCCTTAACTAGCTCAGATACTAGCCTGAGTCCACAGTCGGCAGTAAAATAAGGATGGTCTGGATTTTCTCCAGACTCTGCCATACCTCTCAACATGCCCAGCGGCATGGTAAACACCACTGCGAGCTTAATGGCTGTAAATCTCCAAGTCTTGACATCCATTCGTTCTCGGATGGTCAATTCTAACTGCTTTGCGAGATCGAGGCGGATACGAGCTTCTTCGGGAGATGGGATTATGCCCTCGTGTTGGGCTTGTACATGTACCGGGGAGGGTCCAGCAAGGAAGCGCCCCAGTGCGTCCTTTTGCTCGGGACTGGCCATTAGCCAGAACGAGGCGAGGCGTCCTCGCATCTGCCCGAGTGTTGGCATTATGCAAGTTTTATGACTTCACGAGGTAATGTGGAGTTTGGAGGATCAAAATATGGAAGGTCGGAAAAGTGAAAGGTGAGAAAAGTAGAAGATGGGAAAAAAGGAAGGTGAGGAAAAAAGAAGATGGGAAAAAAGAGAAAAAGATGGGAAATAGGAGGATTGAGAAAGTGGAAGTTGGAAAAAGTGGAAGATGGGAGGATGGAAGATGGGAAAAGTTGTAGGAGTTTGGGGAGTGGAAGGCCTTGAAAGAGACAACCTTATATACCTTCCCACTACCTAACACCCTCCCACTACCTCATACCTTCCCATATCTAGAACATTGGCCCACCGGGCTCCGAAACCTTAGATATCGGGCGTTATCAACTTCTTCCTCCCATGAAACCGTTCTTTTCTGGTTCAGCAAAATGAGCCATTCTTGAATTTAATTAACCAGTTCCCAAATTGAAACCGTTGAGACAATCAAACCAGCTGTTCACAAAATATTAGTACTTTCGGTACGAAAGTCACCAAGATTTCGGCTTGGAAATTGCCTTCAAAGTCGCTAGGGTATAGAACAGCGTCATTCGGTGTTTGATCTAATATCTCTCCATGGCAATTTCTACATTATGACTTTATTCTTGGGCGGACGTTTGGGATTAATTAGATGGGTTTGAAGTACGGGACTATGACACATAGTCGTCTGGGCCATCTAACGTAAGGCGCCTATATTTTTACTGTACAGGGTGGGAGTTTTGTTTGTGAGAACCCGGGGTCTATGACATGGATATGGTCTTCAGCGGTTCGCCCCCTATTAGTGATCTCTCTTTTGCAAATTCCTTGTCACGTTATAATACGCGAGGATGATTATCGGAAGTTACTTGCAGTGGACGATGTCTGCTTCCTACCTACTGCTAACCTTATCTCCTCTGGTTCTGCTTTCCGGCAGGATTGTCGGTCTTCTGTCCGATTCACTTCGGCAGCGGGACCCGTTCCTCCCAACCCGCAATCTTTGGATTTCACGAACTACACGCGTTTGCAACACGGGACTCGGGAGTGACAGCCATTGCTGGGTTAGCAAACCCCGTCTTTCGACGGAACACATAGAAGACCAACAGTTGGGTCCGCGTTGTTGGTTAGGCGATACATATGCAATGTATGATCGGAGCTGCAAGGCAGCAGCTTCCGGAAGCAAAGGGGCCCAAGGCAGAGCTCAAAAGAAGGGAAAAGAAGTCACCAAGGGCAGAGCAAAAGGAGGAGAGAAAAAGGAGGAAAGAGTTGGCGGGTCCACCAGTCCCGATCACTCCAGTCCCCTCCAATCCTTCAGCCAAGGGTGGCTCATGGCCCCCGGCATGGCCAAGATGCAAGCATCCCGGTCTCCACAAACATCCTCTACACAGGAGTTTATCATGCGAAGTGTGGACTTTCTCGATGGCTCCAATTTGATGACGCTATCGTGCCCGGCCCTTCGACGCGCAGAGTACATCTTCAAGCGGTCCGGGACATCTGGGACGAATCTGTCGGTATCGCGGCGAAAACCCAGCTGGACATCGCGAAGGATATCATTTCCCTTTTTGATGTACCAGACCCAGTGGGAGTATTCCTTCATACAGCTGTGGTCAAGCCAAGGCCAAAGATCTGGCTCGAGGAGCTCTTTGGCAATATAGCCAAAGGGGCGCCATGCTAAATATACATCTTCCTAAGGACGAAAGTTATAGCGATGTCATAGCACGTCAGCCCTAGATACCTGCCCCTTAGGATACACGCTGGCGGGCGCCGGTTCGCTATCTAGGAAGGACTGGGGCGATCCGGTCCAAGCAGCCACCGTAATATCAGGCAGCCCCATTGAACCGAACCCCCAGCGCTCCTCAAGTGTCTTGAGATAACAGGAAATACAGTCGAGGATAACGAAGTCGCCTAAAAGAAAGATGCCCAGCCACCATAGGGCAACGCATGGTCGTCGGAGTGCAAACACTTTGGCAAGGAGATATAGGTTACAGGAGCCGAGAATCGGGTTGATCGCAGAGATGATTGAGGCAAGCTAAGGGCTAACAAGGTTCGCGTCGACATCGGGCTGCCAGAAAATGCCCCAGATGATCGAGCCAACGGATCTGGGGTATATGCTCAACGTCATGTAGTAGCGAAGATCAGTGACATACTGACGGATGGTGGTAATGGTATGTTCCGTAGATTCGGTGCTCTGTGGGATAGGCTTTCCGAGCGAAGTAATCGGGAATTGCGGTCGGAGGCCGCTGTTGTGGTAGAATGGGAGAGCGAGCGTAGCCAGGAACGCGGCTATAGGGATGGAGGGAACCCCCCACCATCCGCCAACCAGCCAGGTTTAGGCGAGAGCACAGCCATCGAACTAACTTACGGGAGGCAGATGCTCCCAGATTAAGGACGACCTCTCCGGCTATAGCCCGAAACGTCTTAGCCGAGACCGGCAGCAGGGAAAACCGAGAGTAGACCGGCTTACTGCCCTGCAATTCAAGCATGCGGGCCGACAGAATGTACGACCAGCACATCGTGAGAAACGAGAGTCTTTTTTACGCGGCCAAAAGCGCATGGCCTAGGATCGCAGGCTACGAGTAGATATGACACTCGATCGGCCGTGGGTAAGATACATGGAAGAACTTCTGAACGCCGTGGGCATACTGCAAATCCCATTCCGGCTTTTCTGTGCCACCCGCGGGGTCGGGATCTGGTACATGCCACAGGGGCCGCCCAATAATAAAACCCTTCTTAGGTGGATTATCTGGGAGAGCAGGGACATCCTTCAGCATGATAGAAAGACTGGCAAATTCGGCGGGGAAGGCGTGTAGAGGAAGGGCCTCGGCGAGCTCGGCGAAACGCGCCCACGTCGCGCGGCCGTCTTGGAAGACGCGATCAATATCGGCGGAGCTTGGGATCAGGAGGTCGTGATCGGTGCCAATCAGTTCGTCTGGGATATCAGACGACGAACTTGTTGACGTCTCTGAGGGAGCGACATGGTGGGCGGAACGAGTCGCGTCATCGGCGGTCCGATCGCTAGCGGGTTTGTCGTAGTCGGTCTGAATGACATGCTTCCCAGTGCATATCCACTCGAGAATCTGCCGTCGTCGCGCGTCCATGATGATCGGTCTTGTCCCCACTTAGGTTTCGGCAATCGGGATTTCGGAGGTGGGAGCAGTTATTCCGGCGGCAGAGAGTGGGGGATTAAAACGGCGGTTCAGCTGGGCTCGTTGGCAGGGCAACACGTCAGAAGCTGTGGGCAGTTGCTAGTTGCCCCACTTCTTTTAGGGCCGGCGAGGCTTACTGCGCGTAAAGTACCTGGGTAAGGACGTGGAGTTGACTTTGTATTAAAAGGGCTAAGCGTAGACTGCCATTAAGGATAATCCCTTTGTATAACCGGGAAAAGAGGAGAAGAATAAGAGAAACAAAAGAGAGGTAGCGAAACTTGTAGTCGGTACATACCTGCCCGCATCAGCGCGCTGACAGGTTACACGCTAAACCTTGGCCAAAATAATTAAATGATTGAGAGTCATTCCGCCTCCTTAACGATTCAAGAACGGGCTATCACCGCCGTGCATTTGAGCCAACGACCCCGCCTTCCATAAGGATGCCTATTTTTCAAGTCCGCCTAGCGCTCACTGACAGGCATCGCTAAGAAGTACATCCTCCACGCTGATCGAAGCGCCTCGAACGTGGGAGCTGACCCGACGTGGTTCATCTTCTTCATCAATCACCTTGACCGATGCAGGCGTGAAGTTTCTCGAACGCTTCGTGAGAGCATTGACAAGTCCATTGCCGTTTCCATCCCCGATGCCGAGGATGTCAATCCCGAGATCGCGAGCAGCGCCCTGCTCCAGAATCTCGGAACCGCCTGGAGTGGTTAACGAAGAGTTGTTGCTCTCGGATCCGAGGCTTCGAATAATTGACGAGAAGTCGTCACATGACGATTTTGAAAGCCCTGGAATGCTAGCCGCAGTGCCGACTGCGATATCGCCTCCTAGTGTGGATTGTCGGTGGTCTTTTCCAATCCCCGATTCTACCTCCGCACCTGACACGGTTTGATGGCGACCGGTGGCTGCGAACGGTTGGTTCAAGAGCGACTGTGTGAGTGACGAGGCAAAATCGGGAGGCATGATGCCAACCCGGTGCGAGGGGAGTGGCGTGTCCTGACCCCCATCAGTTCCGCCAGTGGGCGTATTCTCCGGCACCTTCAGACTTCTAATGTCATCGTCTAAGCTCATTCCTGAAATGTGCATCGGTTCGGGCGCATTGAGGGGAGGATAGTCGGTCATGATGGCATCCGATGACTGTTTCGATCGGCGGCCGTTTGTTGGCCATGCCGGCAGTCCTTCTAACAGGTCATTAGCACCCCCATTCATCGCTGACGTAGCCAATTCCATGTAATCTGCCTCGGTGAAGGGGTCGGGATACGGCGGGGCGTTAGGTGCTGTCGGGCCGCCGATGTCGAGAAACGGCATTTGAAAAGATGGGGTATTTAGGAAGCCCGGGGTACCCGGGTTCTGAAATACGTCTCTCGCTGTAGACGGCGTTGGAAACCCTTGTCCTTTGGTATTCCTCAGCGGCGCGGACTTGCGGTTCGGAGAATGTGCGTGTGAGCTGGGGCCATCGTCGAGGTGGTACGTCGGAACAGGCATGATCGGATTGAAGGTCGACGCTTGCCACATTGCTTGATTCGGCCAGGCGATAGCATTATTCTCGAGGATCTCTGCTCTGTCTCATCAGTGAATGTGGGCCAACAGAGGCTTAGAGTAGAAAACCGCAACCCACCTAGAGGGGCATGCTGGAAAGAGAATGCCACGACGTTCTTGACACGCTCGATTGGGGCAGAAAGGGAATCTCGGGGGAAGCCTTCGCTGATAACAATCTTGATGCGGCCGACGTCGTCTCCGGGCCGCCAATGGTTTTGGAATAACAACTCTCGACGAAAGTGGGGGAACTTGAGCCGCTCTAACTCGCCGGTCTTGGTGAATTCTGACCCTGTGCATCAGTATTACCGCAACGTATCCCTCAAAGACCGTGTACTACGCACCGCATGTGCTGGTAATTAAGTGGGGGCCATTAACATCGCGGTCGAGGACGGTCGAGCTAAACCACCATGTAAGTAAGTACATCGTGGAGTTTGCGGTGGTGGGTGTGTAAAGACATACGCGACCAGCCGTCCGTCAATAAGGATTCGTGCCTCGAACTTGATCAAGTCCGTGTGTTTGCTATACGCCCGGGAAAATTGGCTAAGATCGGGCCGGCGCCAGCAATGCATCGATATCTGGAAGCCGGCACCAGGCGGGAGACCTGGGACGAAGCAGGTCATGACCGGAACGCCCACTGCCCCGTGGATGTGGGCGAGCTCTAGGTCCGGAACGACATGGCAGGCAACTTTGAACTCCTTGAAGGGAATCTTGGAGTCGCGGCCGGTAGGAAAGAGGATAATATCCCAGTCGTCGTACCGCATCCTTTCGGGCAGCGTGTTGCTGGGGCGCTTCTGCCGGCGAGGCCGGAAAGAGTCAAAATTAATAAAAATTTCCGGATGAGGATGGGGTCTGCGCCAAGAGAGACAAAGTGTATGCCAACGGGACAAACGGGGTGTCTGGGGTCAAACAAGAAACCGAAAAATATCGTACGTTGCGCCGTTGGCAACGGTTCCAAAGGAAGTCAGTGAGGTCGACCTGACATCTCCACCTTCGGTTCAGAGATGAAGTTGATGCGGGGTTTCATGGGCAGAAACGGAGGTAAACATGGAGCCCATGCCCTCCTAAGCATATGGGTGTTTGGTGGGGTGCTCCTGCCTTCTTGCGCGCGTATATGATGCAATGTGTTATCGCTTGGTTTGCATAGGTTCTGTCCGCTGGACGGGGCATTCGCCATCCAAGGCCCGCTTCATTTCAATCATCGGCCCGTTTCGGTTGGTGCTTGTTCACCATACAGGTCACATATAGGGACCTAGGTAGCTCGTCCCCTGGTGATGTACATGGAAGGCGCGGGCGACCTGACTGGCCGCGGCGTGGATGTCCAGATGTACGTGCTGGTTGTGGGGGTTTAGGCCTAGAACGTGCCGTGTCTTGAAGGACCTAGCCCGGTTGCGCTCCGATCCTGCTTTGATTGGTAGCTAGTCGGTTTTAAGGGGCGACTTTTCTGTAAGGCGCTTGCTCAGCCTGGTAATTGTTGAAGTCAACAAAGGTGGCTGCAGGTACATATCACCTGAGGAAAGAAAGTGGGTATGCGGGCAGGGACAGGCGCAATTCCAACTGCTCCTTAGCCTTGCGCTCTGCCCTCGAATTATTTCAATAGACCTCACAGTGGCAGTATGGGCAAGTTTGCGGACTTCCAAAAGTGCGGGTAAGAAAGGCTAAATGGCACAAAAGAAAAGGTCAGGTATTTGCCAGTTAGTTATTGGATGTACATATTTTGCTTCTTGATCCGCGCCTACGGGTCCGGGTCACCCGCCTTCCTGGCCTAGACGACGATGTCAGCGAGCTGTAGCGTTCTTGGATCAAGTAGTTTGACTCACCCTCATTGAACCGCGACCGCCCAGTTCCCTCTCAAGACCGTCTTCGAATTCCCGCGGGTATGCAACCCTGTCCGGGTAGATCTGTTTGGTGACCCATACCACACTGAGAAAAACGGCGACGAAGCAACCAATCTGGAAGAGGCCCTTCCCGGTTCCGACCCATGTGTACTCGTAAGGAGAAAACATGCCCAAGATATCGTTGTCCTCGTGAACCGGCTCGCCAAAGTTCCTCCTTTCTTGCTTGTCCCACCAGTCGGCATGGGGATCGCGGAATTGGCGTTTGATGCGAGGGGGATTGATATAGCCTCCGTTCTGCGCCAATTCATCAGCTCTCATCCCTGACTATCATCCCGTCTCACTGGACGCACCATCTCGGGGTCCTCCTTTTCACTGAGGGTTGGGTAATCGGAGTCGGGGTATTTCTCGTCGATTGCCTTCCCACTACCAGTCATGGATTCCGGGAGGAAGGTTCGGTGTTGGACCATGGGGAGGCGTCGCGCGGGCAGGAGAGCTGCCGTTCGGAGGGGCGACGCCCGCACGATCCGACGAGACAGCATCTGCAAGCTTGTTAGCTTTCAGTTTTCAGTGTCACAATTCAAAGGTCTCCAAACTGACCTTGCCGGGGTTGTCGCAATGCGAATCGACTGGTGAAGCTAATGATGTCGATTGAACGCCGCCCAGCTTGTGAGCTTGGACGTTTGAGGTGGTTCGATGGGGATGCGGGGGTAACCTGATTGGTTGTTTCGACCCCACAATTTCATCCAGCCGGGCAGCTTCCAAGAAATTGACGCCTCAGGCAGCCACCACGCGTTGCCAACTGCCCGCCGCGGCATTCGCCTTCAGGCTTGCAGCGGGTGGAATTTTTTGTTGGCTGGCAAAGTTTTGCGGACAAGAAGCATTTCAAACACAAATCAGTCCGCAGCCAGCCTCACAGGACCGTGGCCATGCAGAAATTTTGAGACAAGAATCGTTGAGTTTAGAGAATTCTCCTGACGTTATTTTCATTGTGCCAGATGCCAGATTCGTCGAGATCTCGGCCGTTTCTACGTTGCGGTGTCCCTTGTTACTATGACGGAGATCGCGTCGCCCAGCCCAACAGACGCAGTTCCGCCTCTAGCTCCCGGCGACAATGCTCAACCCTCCGAACCACCACCATCCACGCCGGAGCTTGAGACGGCTCAAACTGTCAAATCAGACCCCGACGAGTTACCCGGATCCACAAGCGGACACGATACCAACAAAATAACGCCTGGGAACTGCACCGAACAGCTGTCTGAGGCCCAAACCCCACATAGCAATGGCGTCCACACGCAGCAGCCGACGAGGACAGACGAGGACGGCCCTCCCGCGAAACGGCGTCGAGTGCGCGATACCACACCAAACAACTCCGCGCGGAAACCGAAACCGGAGTCCCCGCCATGGAAGAAAATCGAAGCGGAGGGCCCGTCTACATTCAAGGGGGAGGACGGCCGACGGAAATCAGGGCGTATCAATACCGTACCCCTCGAGCTTCAGCCAGGCGACAAGCGTATAACGAGGCGAGTTTTACACACTGGACATCCCACCCCGACAACAAGCCGAAATACGACGACAAACGGCCACGCGTCGACACCCACGAGTGCAAATGCCAAGCGCGCCGCAGCTTCCGCAAAGCAGGCTCCTACGAAGCAAGCATCGAACAAGGCCCCACTTCGAAAATCCGCGACTTCACAACATGAACCCAAGCCAAGCACTCGCGCTCGCCGGCGGTCCGGTTCCCCACGACGTCCTGCTGCGCCATTAAAACAATTTGTCGGCACGCGTCGATCGACCCGTCACTTGCGAGACGCAGAAGATGATGGCGACTCCGAGGTCACGTCAGCGGCGACTCGCATCAACCTACGCGCTCGACCACCGTTAACGACGATACCCCTTGTTCACCGTGAACAGGCAAACCTCCGACCGAAGCTCGGGCCGACCTTTGAAGAGTTTTTGGATCGTGCAACAGAGATTCCGGTGGAACAGGGGGGGCTACTCGTAGCTGCTGAAGATGGCCCTGGATACACGGAGGAGACGGTGGAGGAAGATGCCCGGATCATCTTGCGGGTCGAGAAGGAGGTGGAGCCGGGCGGGATTCTCACGGAAACGAGGTGCTCTGTTTTTGAGCCCGAAGCGGTGGAGGAACCGCGGCAGTGGGCGCACGCTGACCATCTTGTCAAAGCTATGGCTCACTTACGGAAGTTGATGCTTTCTGAACAACAACGACATCGCGCTGCGGCTAAGAAATTGGCCATCGCGTGCCAGGCCGAATGGAGACGACGGAATCCGCAACCAAAAACAGTGGAAGAGATTGAGTTTGAAGAGACTGAAAAGAGCAAGGTGAGGTGGCGTCATGTCAACAGGATCATGGCCGCGACTTGGGAAAATGTTAGGATCGAGGTGAACCGCCGTCGATTAGCCGACTGGGAGGCAGAAGAGCAACGCCGTGTGAAGGCGGCCCTCAACCAGGCCGTCAACCTTTCAGAACAGAAACTGTTAGCTCAGCAGACCCGCCCCGACACCGAGGAGCTGTCTGATGACGAGCTCACCGACGATTTGATATCTAACGTTGACTCTGACGAGGACCTGGATGTCGAATCGGTGGCGCTGGCGAATCTTTCTGATGAAGATGGGGATGATGAGGACAACATGTCGTCGTCCGAGGATGAGGATGATAAGGCATCCGAACTGTCGGACGAAGGACTTACTCAAGACCAGCTCCGAGAGAAATACGCCAACCTGCCAGCCTTGGACCCTGCCCTGGACGATGCGACGCCTGCGGACGAAGCCACAACGCCGGCGCTAGGTGACGACGACACGAGTGACGAGTCGGTTGACATGGATGATGATTTGGGGTCGTCTGAGGACGAATCGGAAGAAGACGATGAAGAGGAAGACGACGCCAGTAACGACGACGGGGATGGATCTGAGGGCGAACTCTCCGGTTTGCTCGGGCTATTTTTCGGCAAGTCGGAGCTGAAGAAGTTGCAGGACGAGGCCCCGGGAGACGATGCGGATGCAGATGATGTGGACATGATCGATGCTGGTGCTATCGATGAAACCGAGCCGGGTATGGACGTAGGTGGGGACGCCATCATTGAAGGTACTGCCCATCAGCCCGCGGCCGACCCGTCCGTATCTACAGCGCCTCCGGGAGAGCAAGTAAAGGAGCAGGAAACATCCAGTGCCCTTAGTTCGCTGCCGGTGGGTGGGAGGCTTGCGGAAGGAGTCTCGAGCGAACTTGCCGGGCCGGTTTCTCCGTCGAGGACAACGGACCCCGTAACAAGCGGCGTTACAGCCTCAGCAACACCGGTTTCGGGCGATATGCCTGTGATCGGCCAGCCTTCCGAAGACGACGTCACAATGGAGGATGTTCCGGAGCGGGCAGAATCCACTTCAGGCGCTGATGGGCTCGCGATACCTTCTGTACAACACCCTAGTCCGGAGACAGAACCAACCACGAATGTCCATAGCCCCTCTCGGAGCCAGTCGCCGAGGGCGTCAGACGATACCAAGCCGACTGATGTGGAAACACCGGCGTCCCTGTCCCTGCTCAACGCCCCAAAGACGGACAGTCGGTCCACGTCGCCGCAGCTGCCCGCACCAAAAACCGAGATACCGTTTCTCCTGCGCGGGACGCTTCGCGAATATCAGCATCTTGGCCTCGACTGGCTCGCGGCTTTGTATTCGAACAACACGAACGGCATTCTCGCTGATGAGATGGGCCTCGGCAAAACTATCCAAACCATTGCGCTGTTGTCTCATCTGGCGTGTCACCACGAAGTTTGGGGTCCTCACCTCGTCATCGTCCCCACGAGTGTGATGCTCAACTGGGAGATGGAGTTCAAAAAGTGGTGCCCGGGTTTCAGAATCCTCACTTATTACGGCAACCAGGACGAACGCAAGCGGAAGCGTCAGGGGTGGACGAACGACGATGTGTGGAATGTCTGCATCACGTCTTACCAGATGGTTCTCCAGGATCAGCAGGTGTTCAGACGGCGACGGTGGCATTACATGATCCTAGACGAAGCGCACAACATCAAGAACTTCAAGTCGCAGCGGTGGCAGACCCTCCTCGGCTTCAACACTCACTCACGATTGCTACTTACCGGCACGCCCCTACAGAACAACCTAACAGAGCTCTGGTCGCTTCTGTACTTTTTGGCCCCACCCGAAAATGGTGAAGGCGGGTTCGTCGATTTGAAGGAGTTCCACAATTGGTTCTCGCGGCCGGAATCGCAGATTCTGGAGAGCGGGCGGGAACAGCTGGACGATGAAGCACGCGCCATCATCTCGAAGCTTCACAAGGTCCTTCGCCCGTACCTCCTACGCCGGCTCAAGGCCGATGTTGAGAAACAGATGCCGGCCAAATACGAGCATGTCGAGTTCTGCCGGCTTTCCAAACGCCAACGCGAGCTGTATGATGGTTTCCTGTCCCGCGCAGACACGCGAGAGACCCTTAACTCGGGGAACTACATGTCCATCATCAACTGCCTCATGCAGCTCCGGAAGGTGTGCAACCACCCGGACCTGTTTGTGGACCGGCCCATCATGACATCGTTTCGCATGCAACGGTCGGTTGCCACGGACTTTGAAGTCGGCGAGCAGCTCATCCGACGGAAGCTGCTGGCTGTCAAACCCATGGAGACGGTGAGCCTCAGCTTTCTCAACATGATCCCCACGCGGTATGAAGGCACATCGGGCGCAGACGCGGACCGGATCTCGCAGCTCAGCACGCACCGCATCCTTCTTGATCTTAGGGAGGCCCAGAAGACGCGAGCCAACAATGCGTACCACACTTTGGACCCGGCGTCTGTCAAGTCAAACCTGGTCTATCTGGAAAGCGCCGCGCGATGGGGCCGATTCGAAGAGCTGCAGCATTGTGTGTACCTCAACGCTCTCCGACGCCAGCAGCGGCCGATTTACGGAAAGCGGCTCCTTGACCTCCTGACGTTTGACACGCACCGCCGACCGTACAAGCAGCGCCCCAAGGTACCGCAGAAGGTCATGAGCTGGTTCGAGGAGGATTCATACCTGCTGCACAACGCTATCCCGACGCTGCAACAACGCGCGGGCTCGATGGAGACCACGATAAGCAAGTTCGCTTGCGTGACCCCGGCTGTCGTCACGGGCGATATGACCAGGCTGCTGCTAGGGCCCAAAGGCGTGCAAGCGTTTGAGGAGACAGATCTGAAGCTGTCAGCGCCCGTCCGGTATGCGCCGTACATGCCCAAGGAACGACCACCGGACCCCTGGCACGAATCCCGCATGCGGTTATCCATCCAGTTCCCCGACAAGCGACTCCTGCAATACGACTGCGGCAAGTTACAGGCCCTCGACAAGCTCCTCCGCCGGCTCCAGGCCGGGGGTCACCGCGCCCTAATCTTCACGCAAATGACCAAGGTCCTCGACATCCTCGAACAATTCCTCAACATCCACGGACACAAATACCTACGCCTCGACGGCGCAACCAAAGTCGAGCAACGCCAAATCCTCACCGACCGCTTCAACCACGACCCCCGCATCCTCTGCTTCATCCTCTCCACCCGGTCCGGCGGCCTCGGCATCAACCTCACAGGCGCCGACACAGTCATCTTCTACGACCAAGACTGGAACCCAGCCATGGACAAACAATGCCAGGACCGATGCCACCGCATCGGTCAAACGCGCGACGTGCACATCTACCGGCTCGTCAGCGAGCACACCATCGAAGCCAACATCCTGCGCAAGGCCAGCCAGAAACAGATGCTGGATGACGTCGTCATTCAGGAAGGCGAGTTCACAACGGATTACTTCAACAAACTTGCCATTCGCGACGTCATCGGCACTAACGGCGAGGTAATCGGCACTAACGAAGACGATGTCGCGGCCAACGCGGCTATGGACCGCGTGCTAGGCGGCGTTGTCAGCGGTGGTGGTGATGCGGGTAACGGGGACGCCAACCGTGGAGTTGGTAGTGGTGCGCATAACCCGCGGGGTGCGGGCCGCGCGCTGCTGGAGCAAGCCGAAGATAAAGAGGATGTCGCAGCCGCGCGGCAGGCGGAGAAGGAAATCCAGCAGGACGATGCCGACTTTTTGGAACCGCAGTCAGCATCCGGCGCAGCATCCGGGTCAGCGACTGTAGCTCAGGGTACGCCGAGGGAGGGGACCGTCGAGCCGCTGTCTGCTGCTAGTGTTGGGGTGCTTGGCGACGACGGGGAAGAGGAAGCGAAGGTGGTGGAACACAACGCGTTTGGGGGACGGATGCATACGGTGGATGATTACATGGTGCAGTTTATGGTCAAGGCGTTGGAGGGCACGCCGTTGGAACTGCCGAAGGATAAGAAGAGGAGTCGGAAGCGGGGGAAGGATACTCGGAAGCGCTAGGGGCGTTACTGAAGGCCCTTTCTTGCTCCCTTGCTTTGTTTTCGAGTCTGGCAAAATAGATGTATGTTGCATGGCGTTTGTTGTTTGGTTGGTTGGGTTTGGTATAGCAGAGCAGGGCAGAGCAAAGCATGCGTGGCAAGGCGTGAGTCCTGTATGGATCGGGTCGCACTAGTTGGCTGTTATGATGTATTATAATTTGCGTTCGGCGGGCGGGCGGAGTGTGTATTAGTGGCAAAACGGAAAAGCGGTGTTGTGGGAGGCAGTTTGAAGTGTTGGGTTGCACCACTTGGGACGGTTCATCCCAAGATCAATAAAGAACCCGAGTCTCCACTCGATGGCCGGGAATTGGTCCAACGGGTGTGTTTTGAGTTCAAGACTGTTATGGTCGTGGTGTTTGTTCACTGGTGATCCGGTAAAAATGGTAAATTACGTCGTCCGTGACCAAGATTAGCACCAAGTTACTTACATAGTAAACCGTTCCTATCTCGTAGAACCTTCACCTCATTTCTCTCCATGCACATCTCAACTCAACCCTTACTCCCTCTTTGCCTCCTCCTCATACACTCGATTCCACGCAACCCTCTTCGCGCCAACCTGCTGCACAATCCCCTGCCTCCTCGGCCCCTCCGGCGCCATCCTCACCAACACATCCTCCACATCATGCCACCAATGCGCCCGCATCTCCATCCACCCGCGCGCCACCGCCCCATCAGCCTTGTGCACAATCGCCCGGCCAAACTCAGCGGCCGTCGGCGCCGACGCGGGAACGCCCCGGCTGTTGCCCTGCGAGAGAACCTCACCCGGTGTTACCACGATGCTGTCGATCGGGACGGCAGAGGGGGATTGCACGGTGGGGAGTTCCCGCGCTAGACTGAAGCCGAGCGCGCGGTTGAAAGCTTTGGTCGCGCTGTACATGACTAGCCAGGGGAGGCCGATGTGGGCGGCGGAGGAGAGGGAGATGATCAGGGAGCGGTGGCTTTTGTCTGAAGGTTGGTCTTGTTGACCATGACGACGCCCCTCAAGCACAGGAAGCAACAACGCCGTCAACCGCGCCATGAACCGCGCGTTCTGGTTAATCACACCGTCGACGTCATCACACGAGTATGTCGCGAGCGGCCGGAAGGGGGGCACAGCGACAGGGTTACCGCCGACGTTGTTGACCAGGATGGTCAGCGGCACGTCGGACAGCGAGGCCACGGCGGCTTCGAGATCGGCGGGTGTCGCGGTGCGTGCGTCCATCACCAGCGTGCGCACTCTGTTCTCCCCGGCTGCCGACCCGGTAGGAGGCAGCAACTTCCGCACCTCTGCCGCTGCTTCGGAGAGCTCATCGGCTAAATGCCCCAGCATCACCACGCCGAAACCTTGGCGGGCCAGTTCCTTGGCGATGCCGAGGCCGATACCCGCGCTGGCGCCTGTGATGAGGGCGAAGGCGGTGTTGGTTTCCCCGGCGATGCGTTTGTATTTCTTGAGCGGCTCCCAGGGCGTGACGAAGTGGAAGGTGAGGAACTGCACGGTCGAGTAGGCGAAGAGCAGGACCACGCCGGCGCCGATGCCCGCGAGGGCGTACACGATGCCGATCGCGCCCATACCTTACGTCAGAAAGAGTAACGCGTTCAGTGCCGTGTTTCGTCTTGTCTGATCCTTCCAGCTGTTTGGTCAAACTTTGGTGATCAAAACTGGACCGGCGGCCTCGGCAGGATTATGGAAGCTGTACTGTCGGTAACTGGTCCGGCCTCGTGTCGGTAGGCTGACGAAGTGAAGAGGTAGGATGTGTGCGGCGAGTGAGGCGGGTGAGACGGGATGGGACGGGGGATGAGTAAGGTTGAAGCAAAGGAGTCCAAGGGGATGAGAGGTGGCCCTGGTTGTGGGTGATGCGGTTGGTTGAGGACTCAGCCGCTGACAGCGCAGGGGTGAGAAGCAGGGGTCTTTGGTGTAACACAAGGTATGCAGCCAATCACAGTTGTGGCTGGCGGCTTTGCGTGCTTGAGGACATGTCAGATGTACTGTGTAACTGTGTATCAAATACCATCGAAAGTCAGATTTGAAGAAGTTGATTAATGGAATGGCATTGTGGTCACGATTGTCGTGGTAGGCCAGGCTACTAGGTGACGATCAAGAATTGAGATCAAATAACGCCGAGTGATGTGCTGTGGATCACCCGTCGTGAGGATGGCGGGCACATCGGCCAAGATATTTTGAGATTCAAGCTTTTGATAGCTGTCGTGAGATGGAAAGCATTGGCTGTGGTTTTTAAGGGCCCAGGTGACGGGAAACTATGGAATATAAGATGGGTCCAAAAGTAAGAGGACCTTCATTACTGGAAATGTACCCATATTAGTACCGACGTTAGTGTATTATTTACCATATATTCCGAAGTAAGTCCAAATAACAACAACACCATACAAACATCACACATCAATCCTCCTCACCACCAGTACAGCAACCGTATACCCCCCCGCGCTCACCAAAAACGGCAATCCCAACGCCCACCCCCCAACGCCCAGCCCCGTCACCCACAACGCAGGCATCACGACGGTCCCAACCAGCGTCCCCACCGTCCGCACAAGCATCACCACCGAGAACAGCTGCGTTCCCATACCCTCTCCAGAGTCTCCCCCGGGCACCCTCCCCGCAAGCCCCATACTAGGCGCCTTCAACAGCGAGTACGTGAACATCGGCAGTGCAATCCCCAACGCATACACCAACAACGACGGCAGTAACACCCACACCGTTGGGGAAATCCCAATTAAGACGGCACCAAGTACCGAAAACCCTAGACACACCACCGCGTTTTCCACCGTCTCTCCCTCTTCTGCTCCATCCCCACGCCCATCTCTCCGCTCTCGTTCTCTCCTCCCCGTCCCCCTCCCATGCGCATCAACCCGCGAGGAAGACCAAACCCAGAAAGGCAGTACCCTCCTCCCCCTCCGCCATCTCAACACCCCCGGCACGCCCACCCACAACAACCCAAAATTAAACACCGCCTTCACCGACAACAAATACCCGACATCTGCCAGTCGCCAGCCGACATACCGCGTGGAAATATACAGCGGGAGCAGTTTGGTATCGGACGATGCCAACGACGCGAGGAAGAAGACGGTAAGGAGCAGGGCTAGGTTGCGTGAGGGGTTGCGGAAGAGGGTGAGGAGGGTGCGGAGGCGGTGGAGGGTGTGGGCTTTTAGGGAGGGTTTGTTTCTGGGAGGAGGAGGGTGGGAAGCGGGGATGAGGTGCTGGTCTAGGAGGGCTTCGATGTCTGGGTGGGTGTGTGTATCATCTCCATGTGACGGGCCGCTCTCAGGTTCAGCCGTAGAAAAGGACACAGGGACACCCCCCCGAGGCAAAGGCACGACCGACGTGACAGGGACCGCAAGAGCCAACAGGCCGATACCCAGCAACGGCGGCAACCAGAGGAGCACGCTCATGGTGGCTGATGCCAGGGCCGGGCCGAGCTGGAGCGAGAAGATGGAGGAGATGGCGTTGACGTAGCCGAAGAGGGTGGCCCTATGCAAGTAATTAGACATTAATATCTTGAGCATTTCGGAGTTGAGATTGAGGAATAGTGACAGACACACCTCAGCACATGATCCTCTGTCAGGTCAGACACCAGCGCATACACAATCGAGTTAAACGCACAGTCCCCGCCGAGAAACGACAACATGGGCGCGGCCAGGATCGCCTTGACCGGCAACACGCGGTCAAAGTAGCCGACCGCAAATGACCACGCAAGCAGAAATACACGCGGGATCAGGTTGAGACACAGCACGAAGCGATGGCCAAAGTGGTCGGCTAGACACACCAGCGGGATGGTCATTATGAAGTCTGGAAACAAAAAATAATTATTAAATCTTAGCATGGGTATCCAACTACTACGTTTAGAACAACAGCGCCAAACAACCGACACGTCATTATTTTGAGAACAACCACCATCGAGACAAATAATAGGAGTAAGAAGAGTGCTCATACCACCAGCAACCCATCCCGCCTCAACCACCCCCAGCATCCACCCCAACGGTTGCTGCACCCCCTCGATCTTGCACCGCTCTTCCGGCACCGATCCGTCCTCCGGCCGTAGCACCGACGGGTCATGCACCGCGTAGTACTCGCGACACAGCCGGCTCTCGACAATGCGGCTCACCGGCAGCTGGTACAGGCTCCAGGCGAGATTTACCAACGCCACGAGCAACAGCAGGGGGCGGACGGCGCGGCGCGGTGATTGTGGTGATGACGCTGGTAGTGGTGGGAGGGGTTTGGGCCGGGCGCCGGGCGACAGACGACGTCTGGGATGATGCGGCATGGCCGTGGCGTTGTCCGTATTGTCGCTGTCGTCGTCGGCGCCTGGTAGGAGCGCAGCCGTCTCCCGCATAACCGGCGGCCTAATGGTCCTGGCAAATTGCCGGATTGCCGGGTAAGGCTGCCGGACTGCTGTGCAGCAGGGGTCGCGCTTCACATCCAGAAATAGGCGGCGCAGTGGTGATTTGTTTAGGACTGAGTGAGTGGGTGAATGTGAGTGAGAGCGACGTTGCTGAGGCACCACTCAGGTGGCCAGGCAGCGATGATGAAAGTGGTGAAGAGTGAGGTTGATTGAGGAAACCTGCGGCAGTGCTTTGCCGCAACTGAACAGCACAAACCTCCGCAGCCCCACAGCTTGCCACTGACCCTGGTACCCCGCTAAAGCTTGGCTTCCACCATCTGTGAGACCCCCTGGTTCAGCTTTAAGGCTCCAGCAAAACTTTGACGCCTGCATGTCTCAGACCCTGCAATAAACGCTCAGTGATTGAGGGAGGAGATTGTGTCTGATTCGCGATATTCCGTGCCAAGATTAGCCTCACCACTCTCGATTTTCTTTTTTTGTCTTTCTTGCTTGGGTCCTCGGGTGGTTTCATCGGGCGTACTCCGGCGGCGGTGACTGAGGTTGACCGAGCTCCAGAGGGGAGTCGGGGAAAGGAGGTTGAGTGTGTAGCAACTCTCTCGTGTGCGCTGGCAAGGCTGGCCCGCTCTTGGCCGTATCGAGCTCGGCACTGCCATGACCCTGCGCACTCATCTCGTACCGGCCGTTATCCTCGGCCATTTCGATGCGGAAGAGTCGACCGTCCATTTCGTAGACGCCGCCGTGGTTGACTTGATACCGAAGAGCCGGGTGAGGTTGGCTGTGGGCTGATACCGGGGTTTGAACTGTGCTTGGCGCCTTGGGTTCTCCGTTATCCGATCCCGGCCCAGCCGTGAGCGTCGTCGACCTGTCGCTGGGCAGAATACTATGGCCGGCCTTGGCTCGGCGCGATCGCCTGAGATACCAAAAAACGAGCCCCGCAGCTACCAAGAACAGGATACCACCAACGACGCCGACGGCAATGCCGATTATGGTGCCCTGAGACATACCACTGCCGCTCGAGGAGCTGATGCCCCCGGCTGTAAGTGGGAGTCAGCATTCCCGATTCTGCGTTTAGGCCGGTGGAGGGAAGAGAGAAACTGTACCTGGAGGCTTGGAGTGGTCACACTGGTACACCTGAGAGCACTTCGTATTCTCGTACGTGTAGAGCTCTGCGATGTATTGTTGGTAGCAACTGAAATTGCCGTATCCATTGTTGCCAGTGCCGGCAAATTGGCCCTCCTCAACGCGGGGACCGAGGTTCGCTGTAAACTTCACACTCGTGGTAGTGAAGAGACCAGTGGTGTTGGCATTGACCCAAAGCGTAGTCTGGCCGTTGGGGGTAGCCACAACGGCCACATCCGTGGGCGTCGCGCCCACGGGGCCCTTGAAATAGGCCATCTGCGACGAGAGCACGCCGGCCGGGTCGCGACAGTCGGCGAGCACGACATGTTCGCCCTCGGTGCGCGCGTGAAGAGATGCCGACTCATGTTGCTGCCCAACCGCAGCAGCGCTCGCTGGGACAACAGAAGCCGGTGACAGGAATAGGCCGGCGATAAGGGCGAGATCGGGCAGCCGGAATCGAGCTCGGCCTGCACGCCGGAGCGGGCTCCGGTATACAGTGTCCATATCGGGTCAAACAAACGAAAAAGATCGAGGTCGGCCTGGAGATGTGTGATGCAAGAACGGGACGTCGGGCCCGAGTTTAAACGTGAGTTGCGTATTGGTGACCGAGCCGTCGGCAGTGATTGGAACGATTCAAACGCTTCCGGTCCCGACAGAAAGGAACCGCGTTGCTAGCGTAGTCGCTCCGCAGCACGAGAGGACTCAGAGGAGAACGGTTCGAGACACGACTCGAAGCACAAGGGAGGAATATTATGTCCAAAAAGGCGAACTTGCCCAAAAAATAAAAGCCGTTGATCCCCGTCCCCACAGTCAGCACATGGACGCATGAGGGGACTGGGGGTCGGTCATTGGAAAAGTCCAGCGGGTCCCCGGTTCGGTGGTTCGCGGCCATGACCAATGACGGGCTGTTAATCAGTGCCCGGCGTCGGCATTAGTGCTGACGCTAACTTCTTTTTTGGTGCATTGTGGCCAGTCTGGACCCCCGCCGCTTCGAATTTGTGGAAGATGGGAGAGGTGAGCATGAGAATCAAAAAAAGGGACATCCATCCATCAGGTTGCCGTTGCACCCATTTGTCAGGAAGGCACGCTCCCATCTTTGCCTGCCGGGCATCATGAAGGGTTAAACAAGGAAACAGCAAGGAGCATACCTTGAGCCTGGTTGAGGAAGGCACGATCTAGTTCGGTAACTGGCCGAGTGCAACCATGGCAGCCCCTTGAAAATTCCAAAAGTTCCGGCCCAACTCGCCGAAAAGTCACATTGGAGCACATCAATGGTTTTGACGCATGGCGGTCTCCTCCGACGTTGATTGGGAGGCAGCGAAGCAGCTTTTGCCAAGGCCTTCCCGTTTAAGCGAACGGCTGATAACCTTCCTTCCCGAGGAACAGCGCCGGGTTCGCTGGAAACCCCTCTCAACGCACAACGATTGACTACGGAACAATTGCCCCGCATCCAGCGGTTCGTCTCACCATCCATTAACTGATTATTCGTACTACAGTAGTGTAGGGTTCTCACAAAAGCAGTTCAGCCCGAGAGCCGCTCGGCATTGCCGAATTCCGGATTGACAATTGGTTCATAAGAAATTGGCGACTAATCGTAAAATAAGCTTTAGATAATCTAGCATTGACAATTCCAAATTCATCTTCTCAACAATGTCTCACGCCAACGACGATGGTACCCAGACATTTACACGTCACCCATCGCAGGCAGGGGGTCCCATCCACTCTCGACCATCTCGATGGCAACCTTGGTCCGCTCGTCGAGGTCCTCGACCGACAAGCCCAACTCCGCGTTCGAGGTGGCCTCGAAGTCGCTGACCGGGTTCGACGGGGTAAAGACGCCGCAATATAGCATCTTCGCGAACCCCCTGCGGTTCCCGGTCTTCATCGCCTCGGCGCCGTCCTTGATACGCTTCTCGCTCGACTCAAAGGTAATCTCCCAGTCGGCATCCGTCGTGCCGAGCACCCGGTGCAGGCTGTCAAGCATCTCGCGCTGCGAGACGTGGAAGCTCTCGATACGCACAAACTTGCCCTTGTACTCCGCCAGCTTCGACTCGGGCAGGCTGACAAGTGCGGCCAGAGCGCGGCCGCACTGCTCCCACGTGCTGGAGGTGATCTGGCGCTTGCCATCGTCGAAAAAGGTGACCTTGCGGTCCTTGATGGTGAAACCGAACCACTCCTCGCCGAGGGCCAAGCTCCACTCATACCAGAACCCGCACGAGAGCGCGATGGGCGGCGCAGGGCCTTTGTCGATGACCTCTTGGAATCGCTCGAGCGTGACGGTCGCGTACAGGTCACTCCGGGAGATCGCAGACGCGTCGAGGGTGGCGAGCGGGTAGCCATAGATGTTGGGCATCACGTACGACACGCCCGCCTTCTTGGCGGCCGTGATGATGCGCGGGTGCACGTCAGGTCCGGCCGACACGCCGAGGGTGATGGCCAGGAACTGCTGGCCCTTGAGCGCCTCCACCAACGAGTCCTCGTTGCTGTAGTCGACTTCCACCCGCTTGACTCCCTCCGGGATGGTGCCTGTGCTGCCCGCGCGGGTCAGCGCAGTGACGACATGCTTGCCGGTTTTCTGAACCGCCGCAGCGAAGGCGCCGCCGATACGGCCAGAAGCCTAGATGAAGGTCAGTCATTCATTGTCTACTGTCTGGAAGCTAGCATTCGATGATGACAGCTTTAGGGAGGCGCAAACTTACGCCGACAATGGCGACCCGCTGAATAGGTTGGTCAGACATGTTGCGTCGGTAAACAGTGTCGATGCGAGATCGAGAGTGCCAGGAACGTTGAAATTCAACGGCTGAAGAGTAGCGAAGCTGGGTATGAAGAGTGTTGCTGATTGCTGATTGCAGTGGTCGTCTGAATGAGCTGAGCATGATACTCGGGGATTTCAAGAAGTCGGGGCACTCTTTTATACAAAAGAGCTCCGGAAGCTACCCCTCATTGACCTCAAAATGCCGACTAACTATGGTGTTGTTCAGCCCGTCGCTTCATCCTTCCATGGACCAACCGGGCTTAAGGTTCGGAGATACGCCAAGGCATCTCCGGGCGCACCCAAGCGAGCGCTGCAAGTACTTACCACACTGCTGCACGGGAGCCGTTACGTCGCCTGGCTCGGATCCCACATACAGTACTTCGCACTCGTCTCGGGGACAAAATCAATCTGCCCACCGGAGCCGGTGTGCCAGGCGCGCGCATCCGGGGAATCGGAGACTCGGGGGCCGCCGATCTAAGTCTCCGGCTTTTAGAGTCCATCCGTCCGACCGCAGCAGTTACAAATTCAAAATATCGCGAGTTTCTTTGTGACAAACCACAATCAGCCCGGAACGGCGTTTCGGTTTGTTTGCGCCCCGCTGCCGTGCCCGACCCGGATTTATCGGGGACTTTGCTTCCCGGTGGTTGGCCTGGGAATTCGCGCTTGGTGTTAGTTTCGAGACAACAACCTTGGGGATCTACGAGCGATGGTTGGGATGGGTGTGATAGGACTTCTGGGGGCTGGTTTCGGAAAGGCACGGCACTCGTGTTTCGTCTGTGCTTTTCGCACGTCCAACGGTCCGATCACCATCGCAAGTCTTGATCCTTAACTCCGTGTTCTGTGTAGGACTAGGAGTGACGTCATTGTTGTCGCTACAATAGGACTATGGCTTATAAACGATTCTAATCTTGAAGTAAGCTTACTTTCTAGTCGACATTGCCATGTGCCCACATTTTCCCAAGTCCCCAGCTGGAGATATGGCGTTGTGTTAGGAAGGACTCGGAGAGAAGTCCGTGGTAAGGTGTTGGGAAAATAACCGGTGGAATGGATTTAATCGCGGAATTATCGTGGTTAACAAAGACCCGGACACAGTCAGCCGTAGTGGTCATGAAAACATAATTACTGATCATGAAAACATACCACAGCTTCTTTGAATAGGGTCAGCAACCTCCTACTACCTACTATATGTGGTGAACCCGTCTTCGACTGTTCCCTCACTGTTGCCAACTTGTCCCCATCTGAACACGGCACGCTTGGCTCGCATATTTAGATCCAAATCCGAACACCGTCTGGTAGCCACTATGTATGCTTCGTAATTAATCAAATAACTCTCCGCGACTGTGTGACATGAATGTAATCAACATTAATCCTACCCAAAGAAGGACGCAGCGAAGGGGGTGATTGGAAGGACTATTTACTGTCCCCAACGCCCGTCCAATTTGTACATCAATTGCTTGTTACACACACTCAGGTCCTTCTTATTCTTTTCTGCGAGTCTAATTAATTACCCCCTCGGTAAGGTGCACCCTACATTTGGTCCCGAATCTTGCAGACCTACCCTCGCTGTGGCCAAAAAAAGCGGCACACCCAAACAGATAGCTCAAGTCCAATCCATTAACATTTGATCAAATCTTGGTAAAGATTGATTGATTTACTCTTTTTTGTCTTTTTTTTCACTTTCTAGATTTATTCTTTCTTGTCTTCTTTCACTTTTTTTGGTTTATGCTTTTTGGTCTTTTTTCACTTTTGTAACAAAGTAAGTTAGTTATCCAGGGACTTGGTCTGCCGCTTTTTTTGGCCATAGCGAGCTACCACGGATAATAATAATTGCCACATATTGTGGACAGACTCAATGTCAATTGAGGACCCTTTGGTAAGTTTGGTTCCTGGTTCCCCATTTTGCCCCGACGCATGGCTGTATAGTGATTTAACCTAGGCCAATGAAGGAGGATAAATAAGGTAGATGCCGCTTTGAGTTCCGTGTGGGGTGGCTTTGATGCACCTTTACTTATAGTAGATGGAAGGGAGCAAGCGTCCAGGGCCATGTGCCGTGATTAATTACCCGGAGCTTGGTTCGTCGTGATGCGAAGGCCTCGGTGTTTTGAGAGGGGGTAAATAATATGAATGGCGGTTTAGAGGAAGGGGTATTTTAAGGTTATAAAAGTGATGATGGGTGCTTGATTTCTGCTGTAGAAGGCGTAGACCAGTTGTGGTGTGCAACTTTATCCCACTTTCTTCACCTCATTAAAATCTTAGCAATCCAAAATGCGCTACCCTCTCCTTTCCACCCTCGCCATACTATCCCCGATCTTAACCTCCGCCCAAGATGTCTCCTACGATTACATCGTCGTCGGCAGCGGTCCCGGCGGCGGCCCCCTGGCAGCCGACCTCGCACGAGCGGGTTACTCAACCCTCCTAATCGAAGCCGGCAGCGACGAAGGCGACAACCCAACCTACGCCGACATCGCCAACTTCAACGAAGCCGCCAACGACGAAACCACGCGCTGGGATTTCTGGGTCAAACACTCCGATGACCCGGACCGCGACCTGCAGTTTGCGCATACGACGTGGGATACGGGCGAGGGCACGTTTTATGTTGGGCTTGACCCGCCCGAGGGGGCGAAACTGTTGGGGATTCAGTACCCGCGCGCGGCGGTGCTTGGGGGGTGCGCGATGCATAATGCGGGGGTGTGTGCGTTGCCGGCGGAGGGGGATTGGGATGTGATTGTCGAGAGGACGGGGGATGAGAGCTGGTCGGCGGGGAATATGAGGAGGTATTTCAAGCAGATTGAGAAGAATCAGTATGCGCCGGCGGGGGAGGAGGCGCATGGTTATGATGGTGCGTCTCTCTATATGACTCCCTACCCATGGATGATGATGGTGTACGGATGATCGGACAGTGCTAACCGGTTGATGTGCAGGCTGGCTCGCCACATCCACCGCAGACAGCTCCTGGGCCCAAAACGACACCCAACCCGGCACGCGCATCCTCAAGAAACTAGCCGAGCTCACCGGCCAAGACCCAGCCGACGTAGCCAACCTCGTCAACCGCGACCTCAACGACGGCGACCCCAACGCCGACGAGACCAGCTCCTTCTACTCCATGGTCACCCACGCCGACACCCAAGGCAAACGCAGCAGTCCCAACAACTACATCCGCGCCACCCTCGCCGACGAAGCCAACCACCCCCTCACCCTCCAACTACAAACCCTCGTCACTCGCGTCCTCTTCGACAACACCACCATCAACTCCACCACCCCCGGTGTCCTCCCGCGCGCCATCGGCGTCGAAGTCCTCGAAGGCGCCTCCCTCTACCGAGCCGACCCAAAGCACACCCCAGACACCCCTCCCCCCCCGACAAAACAAATCTTCGCCCGCCGCGAAGTCATCATCTCCGGCGGCACCTTCAACTCCCCCCAACTCCTCAAACTCAGCGGCATCGGCCCGTCCTCCGAACTCGCGCAATTCTCCATCCCCCTGATCAAACATCTCCCAGGAGTCGGCGAAAACCTGGGCGACAACTACGAAGGCTCCCTGCTCGCCCTCGGCGCCTCCCCCTTCCCCAACGGCCTGACCACGCTATTATTCCGCACCCCCAACGCGCCGACAGCAAAACGGAATATCTACACCTGGTGCGGGGCGTTTTCGTTTGAGGGGTTCTGGCCGGGTTTTCCGACGGATCATGGTCCCACGCAGTATACGTGTGCGTTGGTGCTGATGGCGCCGAAGTCGCAGAGGGGGACGGTGAGGTTGGTGTCGGGGGATGCGAGGGATAGGCCGGAGATTAATTTTCGGTTTTTTGAGGAGAAGGGGGAGGAGGATTTGGGGGAACTCGTGGCGGCGGCTAATATATTGCGCGAGGCGATTGCGGCGGTGGGGGAGCCGGTGGCGCCGTTTGTTGAGCAGCATCCGTGTGCTGGGGGGAACACTACCAGCGGTAACGACAGTAGCAGCTGTACGGATGAATCCCAGGCGTCGTACTTCAAGCTGCAGGCTTACTCGCACCATGCGACGTCGACGTGTGCGATCGGCGGCGATGATGATCCGATGGCGGTGCTGGATTCCAGGTTCCGGGTTCGTGGTGTGGAGGGGTTGCGGGTGGTGGATGCGAGTGTGTTTCCTGTGGTGCCGGGGGCGTTTCCGAGTTGTCCGACTATGATGTTGAGTGCGAAGGCGGCTGAGACGATTTTGGAGGATGCGGAGAAGGGGAACACAAGGCGGCGGAGATAGGGGGGTGGTTTATGGATCTTGAGAGCTAGAGGGAGTTGATGGATTGTAAAGATGGGGAAGTTGACATGGTTGAGTTCCGGATGGTGCTCGAACTCGAACGGGTTGGTCTCGTCATTCTTCAAGCTTAGCCTCGCCCCTGACGGAAATTCAAAAGTTAGCATCACAATCTTGAGAGGCTGAGAGCACGAACCATGTTTCTCTTGCTGCCCAGGTTTGCTAAGGGTCAATGACAGCTATAAAACCAGTATATCTCCTAGGTCTGTGATGAAGCAACAGCTTCGACGTTTTGGCTTCCTAGCAAGTGGACTAGGTTGTAAATCAGTGATCTCATGACCCTACAGTGAATGGCCGTCCCTGAAAGCATCCCAAGATTGAGTGTTAGCTACTGCTAGCGACTTGTAGAAGGGCCGAAGATGCAACGGGTCGAAGAAACCAAGCAGAGAAGAAAATACGCTACGAAAGAGAGGATAATTAGTTATAAACAACAAATGTAAAGAAAATTGAGTAAAATTATATAGTAGGCAGGTATGTGCCTAATTAGCGGGACTGGGCAACTACAATGCGGTGGGTAGGAGCCAGAGCTGGGACACAACCGTTATCAAGATGTGAAAAGAGGTTGTGGTGAGGAAGCTCCGGGCGGATTCGAGAAGGGTAATTATATGTAAACCAGTTGTATGTACACAGTAGCATAAGGAATACTGCAATGGTCTAGAATCTGACGTGTTGTTAGGGACGGCCAGGTGAGCTCTTAGAATGTCTTAACCAAATTGGGTGGGTTCAATCATCATCGGGATCAAAGTATCCCGTACGCCCATAAATTCTTAATTCAAAGCGTTGAGGTCAACACAGCATTGAGCTCAGATTTTGGGTAGGCACAAGGAAGAATGGAGCACGAGATATCCGCAGGGGACCTTGAACTCTTTCCCCGTGAAGCAGGTGAAGTGATGAAATCTCTATTACTCTCAAACTATCCTACGCCCCGCTGACCTCCTCATATCTTCGGCTTCACCTCCCCCTTCCACCTCTCATCAATAACCAACACCCCCTTCCCGTTCTTCGCCCTACTCGCCTCCCCAAATATCCTCTGCTCCTCCCTCCACCTCGCCAACTCCCCACTCAAAAACCCCGCCGCAGCCTCCGCACACTCCGGCGCCCGCTCCATCGCAACCAAATGCCCGCAGTCTACCACCACTTCCTTCACCATCCCTTTCTCTACTCCGCCACTCCCGCCCAGCCCAGTACCCGTGCGCGCCAGCTTAGCCTGCCGTGCCGCGGGTGTCGACATTTCGGAGGTCGCGCCAAAGATGTACATCACGCTCGGACGCAGTTCTGGTAGCCGGTCAAAGGCGTAGACTGGTTCGGGGCGGTAGAAGTTATACTTGCGAGTTGCCTCGGGTTTGTTGCTCTCGAGGCGATCGCGTTGGTCGCGGTCTGGGAGATAGGTTGGTCGGAGGAAGTTGTAGACTTCTTGATGTTTGGTTGTTGTGAGGGTGACGGGGGGCCCGGGTTCAGGGGTAGGTTGATTGGAGGAGGAGGATTCCGTTGCGGCGGGAAGGTCAGGGTAAAGCGCGGTGGGCAGGTCGCGAAGGCCATGTTGGATCCAGAGGTCTAGTACACGGGGGTCCCAGGCCTTGTAGAAGCGAGACGCGGCGAACTTGGCGGCGGCCGCGCTGCGTGAGTCCCAGATGTCGCGGCGGAAGGTGGATGCGGCTGCTGGCTCGATGCCGCTCATGATGTTTTGGATGACGGGGTCGAGAAGGACGAGGGAGTGCAAGAGGCGGGGATTTGAAATGGCCAGAAGAGTTCTAGGTCTCATGAGTGAATCTGAAAAAGTAAAGGGTCGAGGGGAAACTCACAACTGTGCGCCGCCCATGCTGTGGCCAACGCCGACTAATGGACTTGGCATCTCGTCACGCTTTAGGTTAAGGAGGTTGATGAGGTCCCTGGTGTGGTCCCACCAGCTTGCTGGGGGGTGTTAACTCCTTCTACTGATATTTCTGCCGCCAAAGGGTACTCACGATCATCTCCCAGAATATCCTCATTCAAGACTCCAGACTGGCCCTGATTCCACATATCCGCGATCCAGACGGACCGGATACGGATCCCGCTCTTCGCGAGGCTCTGATGGAGGTCATCCCACAGCGGTTCATACAGTTCCTGTGGACCTGTTAGCGAGGAACTGTCAGGGCTCCATTGGGGGCAGACTGGCTGGTGTGTAGTCACCTTTGGGAACCCGTTGGCATGAGCTCCAATGATAGTCACATCGCCGGGCTGCGGGTTCGGGTTGCTGAGCGGAATGTATTGCTTGACGGCGAGTTTCGGGCGATCGGCGTCGCCATGCCGAGTGGCCGCGAGATACTCGCGGGAATGCGAGCAGGGGATGGTGTGCTCGACCACGCGAAAGAATTGGGGCATCGTGGAGGAGGCGAGAGGGGAGGGGGAATCAGAGGGATATCGGATGAGTGAAGACAGGTCAATTGGGTGTATTTCTGTGGTTTTGTGTAGGTATGTATGTACAAGTACAGTTAATCCGGTGAAATGCAACGTCGCGAGAACCCCTGGCCGGCGTTGAGCCTCGGCCCAGGTGGGACCTGCATTTCGTCTGATCGGACGGCTAAGTTTCTCCGCCGTTGACTTTTACAAACACCAAAGGCTGAGATGTCGGTGATTTGCGATTAAATTGGGAGTCTACCTGATTGGAAACAACAGCCTTGGAAATATTTTTGTTTGATAACTTACCAGCGATGCCAAAACTTAGGAAAGAGCGAGTGAGTGTTGGACTTTGCATGTGGTCTTATCTTATCAACACCCCTGTTGATTAAACCAGCCGGGGCTTTCGGGATTTGGTTCTGACAACCGTTGTGGGCCCTGTCAAACAACCTCGCCCAAGTCTACATTGATGAGAGATCCATATGTAATCCGGGTCGACTGGGCACACTCCCTTGTATTTTATCGAGAATACATTGGTACATCAAAGTGGTGTCTTCACATTTCCGTCGCTTTTTTGGGCTCATCATACGTGTCGAGCCACGAGCCATGGACTTCCCATCTCGCAACCGCCGAGCACAGCGAGCAGCCCCAAGTAGCCTCGATTCGAATCAACACGCCTTTTTTATGTCATCAAGACCTTAGAATCACGGTCGATAGTTGGAAAGCAACGACTTTTTTTTTGGCTTTTCTCAGTGGCTAAGTACAGTGTTTTACAAATCTGATCGTTTCCCGGCTGCCATCCCGATTCCCTCGTGTAGTTCTTCCGGATGAATGGGTTGGCCGCCAAAACGAACAATAAAGACAGAGTGGAAAGCGGAATGCCTCTTCCCGTCGAAGAGTACCCGTGTCTGCCAGATCACCGACCCCGGCCCAGCAAGCTCAAGATCCCCTCCTTCCATCGCGAAATGACCTTAAAAATCAGCCTCATAAAACCACGTGCCAAATCCGTCTGTTCCATCCGAAAGGCAGAGCACGCCTCAAACATGCATAGCAATGACCCTGTCCACCGCGCCCTCCGGTCTCTTCTTACCGAGCATCAGCGCCTGCATATCCAGCTTCACGGCGTTCAGCGCAGCCGTCTTAGCAGCATCAATAGCCTGCGGCATCCCAAAAATCAGGTTGCCGTGACCACCCCTGGCATCCTTACCACTGCCATCTTTACCACCATCCTCACCAGCAGCGGCAACACCCTCCTTCTTCCCCCCAAACGGCATCTCACAAGGAATCACCACCCCCCCACCCGCAGCACACTTCAAAATCGCCACCTCCACGCCCTGATACGCCAGATCCTTCACCGCGCCCGCAAAAGCCCACCACAAATCCCCGTCCTCCACAGGCTGCTTCGTACGAGCCGTGCGCAGCGGAGGTGCTGATGGGTCTAACAACATGTTGGCGAGTCGGGAAGTCGCCATTTCCACGGCGTGCTCGGAATCGGTCGCGATGACGAGACGGGTGCAGTGGCCGAGGTCGAAGGGGTGGATTTGCACGGCGGCTAGGAGGGCGCGGGCTGCGGCGCGGTTGGGGGTTGCTGGGTAGCGGGGGGGTAGACGGGGTTTGGAGGGTTTCTTTTTGTTGTTGTTGGCGTCTTGGTTGTTGGTTTCTGTTGTGGCAGCGGCCTGGGGGCGTTTAGGAACGCCCAAGTGGGAGATGTTGGTTTCGGCGTCTTGGAAGAGTTTGATGGTTTGGCGGGCTGTTTCGATGGGCATGGGGAGGAGGGGGTTGGCCGGGGGAGTGTTTGAGTTGTTGTTGTCGGGTCCGTCGTCAAGGGAGACGTTCTTCATGGTATCGGCCAAGTTGGTGTTGGTCTCGTCTTGGTGGTCGTTCTCGTCAGGATCATGACTGGCATCAGCTGCATCTTGAGCCTCAGCCGCCAGGCGCTCTATCTCTTCGGCCACCTGAATAGCCCACATGGCCTGCTCTCGGACTTCCCTCAGTCTCGCGTTCCTCGCCTCGTCGGTCCTCCCGATCCACCAAGTCCGGTACCGCGATTTGACGAGCCCAAACTGGTCCGCGTCCACAGCCACGCCACGACGCTCAAGCTCAAACCCATGGACGCCACCCAGCAGAGGACAAGCGCCGACCGCTTCATCAGGCGTTTCGTTCCCTTGCACGCCGCGGTACAGGTTCCGGTTGTGGCCGCGGTTGGGTTTCTCCAGCGCGTTAATGCAGAGCCTGAGTCTCTTCAGGTCTGCCATGCTGGCCCGCTCAAAGCCCATCGCCTCCACCCGCTTGTCAATCTCCAGCAGTGACTTCAACACCCGCTCCTCATGAAAGTGGACGGTATCCTTGGTAACAACAGCCACACCGCCGCGCGCACTCTTGCCTTCACCCACACAAACTCCCGCCGCAAACACCAGCATGGTGCAAGCCCACCCCTTTTTCTTGCCGTCGTCGGCTTCCTCGTTGTCTTCGTTCTGGTCCCCCTCCTCGGTAAACCTTCCAACAAACCTCCTCCGCTGGTGCGACTGTCCAGGATCATACCGGTCCTCCACAGCCGGCGCCATGCCCTTGACGCAAACAAAAGCCTCCGTCAGCGCATTGGTGAGGCTGACCTGTCCCTGGCGGTCTCGCTGGCCAGGCTCCAGGTACCGGATCACGGCGCGACCGGGGCGCAGGGGATTCACGGGATTGTGACCTTGACCCGTCGCGTCGGGCTTGCCGCCTTCGCTGGCGCCTTCACGGGGGTTCACGTCCCGGAGGACAAAGGTCACTAGGCGCGGGAGGAGGACTTCTTTGCCCGCTGCGGGGGGTTCACCCGCTGCTGCTGTGGCCGTTACTGTTGCGGCTGTTGCTGTGGTTGCTGCTGCTGTCCCCGTGGTACCCGCGGTGGTAGTCCCCGGAAAACACCTCAAATACAACTCCAGCCTCGCCGCGTCGGCCGAACTCGCCGCATCGACCTTCCCCGCAGCCTCGGCCTTCCCCCCTTCGCCCTCACCAGACTCACGCATCATCACCATCATCCCCCCCAACTCCTGCCTCACTTTCTTCCCCATCCTCCACATCCCCACACACACCCTCTCAATATGCCTCCTCGCCTCCTCCTGCCACACCCTCACCAACTCCTTCCTCTCCGCACAATAATCCAACCGGTGCGGGATTCCCGCCATCATGAGATCGGCGAAGCTGGTCCCAGGCGGCGGGAGGTTGCGAATTTTGGGGACGCCGTTGTCATCATTCCCCTGTTCGTTGTCGTTGTCGTCGTTGTTGTCGTCATCAGGAAGCGGGTCCTGAAGAGGGAGGACAAAAGCCCCGCGGACGTGCAGCGCCAGGTCGAGTTGTTCGGCGGCGCGGAGGAGGAGGATGCGGAGGCGGGGGGTCGGGGGGTAGTTAAGGGTGCAGGTTAGACCTGCGCGTTGGAGGGCGAGGGGGAGGGGCATGCCCTCCATTGTTGAGGCCGTGGCTGCTGCGGCGGGGGTGGTCGTGGTCGGCCAGTTGGGGCATGTGCCCGGGTGGAGGGGCGATGGGGGTTGGTCTGGTGGTAAAGTTGTGGTTAGTTGGTAGGTTTTAGGTGGTTGGGCGACAGGTGGTACGTGGGAGGGCGACGGGGGAAGGGGGTTGTTGGCTACGGGTGACCATGGGGTAACCATAGGTGATGAACCGCGGCGGGTTGATCAACCAGGGCGGGTTTGGGAAAAGCAGGTTCAAAGAGGTGAACGCGGCGGGTTCGGGGGAGAACAGCCTCAAAGGCCTGGACCCGGAAAGTTTGGGAAACCAGCCTTGGAGCAGTGAATGCGGCGGGTTCGTGGGAAAAGGTTCAAAGAGGGGACCGAGGCAGGTTTGTGAAAACAACTTGAGGGTTGAACACAACAAATCCATGAACAACGGCCTTGAAGGTCGAACCCGGGAAGTTTGTGAGAAGAGCCTCAAAGAGCTGAACCCCCCAAGTTCGCAGAAACAACTGTGAACGGTTGAACGCAGCGGGTTCGTGCAAAACAGTTCCAGAGAAAGGAACAGGGCAAATTTGCAGCACAACCTTGGAGGTTGAACCACAGCTGAGGGTGAAAACAACCGAGGGTGAAAACATCGTTCAACACTGAACAAACAACAGAAATGAACATACCGTCGGCAACATGTGTGTAGTGGCCCTCTGCGGGCGTGGTGGACTTGTTCTTCGCCATTTTGATGGCGACCCCTCTTGCTCTGGGGATTTTTGGGCCCGAAGAAGGACGGAAAAAAGAGGATTAAGGCCGTGAGGCCACCGAGATCTCTGGGTTCGTGAGCGGTTGCTCGAGGACCGGGAAAGGGTAGATTTGGTGCGAAAGGCACCGAGAAGAAGACGCCACGGGAAAAGGTGGTGGAGGAGAAAAAGTTGTGAAGAGCAAAAAGGTGGGAGAGGGAAAAAAGAGGGAGGGGAGAAAGTTGAGGAAGAGAAGAGGGCGAAGAGGTAAAAAAAGAGAGGAAGGGAAGGCGGCGGGGGAGGGAAAAAGAGAGAGGAGGAAGAAGTCGAGAAAGGGAAGAAGTCGAGGAAGGGAAAGAGTCACGAACAGGAAGAAGTCGAGAACAGGAAGAAGTCGACGAAGTGAAAAAAGTCAAAAGAGGAAGAAGTCGACAAGAGGAAGATGTCGAGGAAAAGGTAAAAGGTAAGGAAAGGAAAAACTCGAGAACAGGAAGAACTTGAGGATTCATGGGAAAACTCGTGTGCCCCAGGAACAATCTCAACTAGGCAACAAACCAAACAACAAAGAAAGGAAAGAATCGAGAAGGAGCGGCACGTCGAGGTTCACGACTCAAGGTTCCGCATCACAGCTGTCGTCGACTGGCATGTAGAGCGGAGCTGCCGAGTCGGGGTCCGGACCGGGGCCCATGTTCGGAGCTCTGTTCGAGATGACGGCCGTGACCGGGCAAGCCGGAGCCGGGTACGGGGCCGGGAAGGTTGTTGATGACTCCAGCCGGCTTATTTCTTACCAAGCGTGTCGGTTGTCGAGGTCAGAACTCAGACACACCGATCAGGATCGAGAGGGTGGACGGCAGGGTACCTACACATGAGCAACAGCGTCTCACTTCTTTGTCACGAACCTCAAGGAATTCAGGGGATGATAACATGACAATGGAGCAGACTAAGATATTTGGTCGTCAAAAGTGTGCTGAGAGCACAGAACTTGATTCAGGGGTAAGTCTCTGTTCTACAAATGTTTGTTCCTTTTGTCGTTGAAAGGGTCAAATAACACATACTCCCTAGGCGAGATGAATGCAAGAAGCAGGCTGCAAATGAGCGATTCATTGTGGATTTCCTCTGTCCTTGAGTCAAATTTCGGCCTCGTATAACGTTGCAACTCTCAGCAATGGGGTCCGGAGAGCCTGCTCTATTTCCTTTTGCTTATATTCTTAACCCCTTTTCCATTGTATTTACCCATGTTGGTTGTATCAGGAAGTTGCTAAAGGCGCCCTGGGAATAGGCTGTATAGAGGATCCCCATGCGAACAACTGCTGATGTTGGTATGTACATGCACGTACCATATTAGGAAAAGTTGAGAACATACTCGAGACAGTTCGCACCACCCACTGTAAGTCGAGTCTATCATAGTACCAGGCGGTCACTGATCGGGCTGGCTTGGCGTCTCTGTTTCTCGCCCCCTAAGACGAGACGGAGCCGAGAGGTGGCCGGAGGTGGCCCTTGTTTCGGGCCCTTCAGACGAATGCCATCTGGGCCAGGGCGCGAAACAGCTTGGCCGGATCCCTGACAATATCGAGCCGACGAATTTGGGAGAATTGGGGGTCTTCTGTGCCGTGTGCCGAGGGTCAAATGCAGGTGCTGGACAGCTGGAGTACGACAAGTCGCGAGAGGAGACGGAATAACGGTATTTCTTGTCCAAGATTGTCCAATTTTGCAGCAGCGAGGACGTGAGCCCCCAAAAAGGCATGCGGCCGGGGGTAAGCCCGGCTGTCCATCCAACATCCAACTGTGCCGTACGGGAGGATGTCGTAGTTACAGAAAATCTAAGTGACCACTGCAAACTTCACTGTAACACAACCTGCAAAACAGTCGCAATATGTCCTATACACTGCACCAAAAATATTACTCGAATGTCAAATTCTGTTCAGCGAGGAGAGGCTGTTAATACCAAGAGAAATCTGATGCGCCTTCCGTTGTTTAGGCTTGCTCTTCCTTCCTTGGGTAGATTCATTGGTACAACGTTGAACACGAATTTATTGTAGCCCCTGTAAGATATGGGTAACTTCTCGATCCTCCCAAGATCGTTCTCGGCAAGTGAGCCGTCGACGCCGCTGAATCCAAACTGCGCCGTGGACTTCCCGCAATATCAACCTCTCATCCGATCCACAACCGCCAAGTCATTGGATCGCTGGTGATGGAGATCTTGTTTCCGTAAACTCGCACATCCATACGCCGAGCCCATGCATCCGATCAGATAAGCTCGATCTAACTCCTCCGCCAAGACCTGGACGATTTGGAGGATTCCACATGTCTTTCATGCCCAGGTTTGCCCAGACCCTGGTTTGGTACAATCAACCGAGCGGTCCCTAAATCCCATCTGTCTCTGACACTCTAACATGGCCGCCCATATGGGTCCCCCACACCCGCCCTTCAACCACCCGGCCGGGTCTCAACGCCCACAAGCCGGGGGGCCACCGGGGGGGATACGCTACATGGGGTATATCCCGCCGAACTTGCGGTGATGTGGGCCTGTTGGGGTCTGAATGCCTTCATGGTCTTGTTGTTTCAGAGCCGGCCGAGTTTGTTTTCGCGTAGCGATGGGATGGGTAAACAAGCCGGCTGGGCAGGCCTCGTCTGGCCCATTACGATTTCTTGGGTCTGTCTAAGTTAAGGCGAGGTGATCGGCTTGCTTCGAAATGTATAAGATGTTGGAAGGTTTCCAAGAGATCGGCGTCTGTTTTCTTCTCATCAGCATCATCATCATCATCAGAATTCGTGTTTCGTTTCTCATTCATTCCGATCTATTCGTCCCGAGTTCTTCGGTACATCCCAAACCAACTTACTTACTACCGTCCCTTGGCATCTAGCCCAAAGTTTTACAAGCCATTTTACAAGCCATTTTACAAGCCATTTTACAAGCCATTTTACAAGCCATTTTACCCTCTCTCACTCTCTCAAACCCACCGCCACCATGGTTGCCATTGACCCCCGTGTGATCGCTCGTGCCGTGTCCACCGTGGCCGGCTTCAAGCAGATCTGGCTCGGCACCTTCGACGGCAACGCCGGCAGTGCCGTTGACACGGGCGTGTGGAACATCATGACTGAGTATGCCACCCCCCCCCCCCTTTTTTTTTTTCCCCTTTCCCCCAACTCTTGACCCTCCTGGGCGGCAACACCCAACTATTGAACTAAACTAATACCCCCTCCCAGCATCCACGTCAACAACGAAATGCAACAATACACCACCTCAACCGACAACCTCCGCCTCTCGGGCAACGGCACCCTCCAAATCATCCCCCTCAAATCCTCCGACGGCAAATGGACCTCAGGCCGCATCGAGTCCACCTCCAGCTACACCCCCGAAGACGGCAAAGTGGCACGTTTCCAATCCCTCCTCCGCTTCGGCGACGCGCCCAAAGACCAACAACAAGGAATCTGGCCCGCCTTCTGGATGCTAGGCGAGTCCTCGCGCAAGGGCACGCCCTGGCCGGAATGCGGCGAGCTGGATATCATGGAACGGATCAATGGCATGTTGGAGGGCCATGGGACGCCGCATTGTGGTGATATTTCGGACCCCTGCGGGGGTAAGACCAAGACGACGCCGCTGGCGGATAATGATTGGCATACGTGGGCGATTGAGGTGGATCGGAAGAATAAGGATTGGAAGCAGCAGGAGGTAAGGTGGATGTTGGATGATAAGGAGTATAACAAGGTGTCCGGGGCGGATTTGGGGGATGAGAAGCTGTGGGCGTCGTTGGCGCACTCGCCGTTTTACTTTATTCTGAATGTGGCTGTGGGCGGTAACTGGTAAGTTTTTTCTTGAGTCTCCTCGGTCAAAACGGTGATGGTTTGATGGATGGTTTAGCAAGATTGTACTGACGGATTATCTCACAGGCCTGGTAACCCCAACGACAAGACTGTGGATGGAACCAAGAGCATGATGGAGGTCCAGTACCTTGCCGCGTACACATCGACTTGATGGATCAGCTCAGTGGCCTTTATTTTTCTTTTTCTTTTTGACTGGGTTTTGGGATAGCGTGGGGTTCTGGGTTAGGATTTGGTTATGGGTGTTATGGGTCCGGACTTTCCTTCATTTTTGGATTGCCAACGTTTCTTGCTTTACATTGTTGGCTTATATCGATTAGGGGTAGAGTTATATGCATTACTTCTGAGCCGTGCTTGTCGCTTCCAGATCAAGCTTCACCGTGAACAGAGGAAAGGGCGGAAACAATTGTCTTTCGATCTCCAACAACCGTACGAGATTCTCTCTCTTGATTGCTCGAAAGTCATCCAAACTACGACAAGTCAAACCCCCAACAACCAAGTTCCACTGTAGTGTCTCGATCTAATTACAACAAGACTACGAGATCCCTCCCCCTTCGTTGCTCGAAACTGATCGAAGCTACGGCTAGGAAAAGACAACAGGAAAGAAAACAGGAATCACAGTAGCCCATCCGCCCAGGCCGCTGCCTCCTCCACGCTCATCCCCACCACCCCTCCCTGCACGGGATCGGTCTCTTGGCGGTCTACGCCCGGCAGGTTGACCCTAAGGGACTTAAGGCGGCGTAGCGCCGAGAGTAACTGGTCGTCGGGACCGACCCAAGTCACGGCGGGGGGAGGCCTCGAGGGGCTGGCACCTATGAATCTCAGATGGCTCAAAATCATGGAGGATGTTGTATTATCAATTACAGTTCTGTATCGACAGGGAGAACTTATAATTAGTTGATGGAGTTTGGTGGATTCCTCATCCGTCAGGTTCAGGGCAAACGCCTTGTCAAAGTCGTCAATGCACTTAGCGAGTGACTGATGGCCTAGGCTAGAAGCAGGAAGTGATGCATTAATTCTCGTCAACAAATTGTGACGATATCATTGTCGAGACGAAACAGTAAGATGGACACGTGGCAACCTACAGGCATCAAAATCACTTCTCCACGACAGAAAATAGGGCAATCTTTGTTGAGGCGAGTATTGGGCTGGACTTGATTAGCACAGGTGATGCCACAAGCCACAGGTGAGTGGTGGTATCTGGTGCTTGAAGAAGCTCCTAATGAACAAACAAGTGGAGTGGTCGAATACAAGAAGCTCTACTCTCTCATGGTGACTAATGTACAAAGAGGGCGGCGGCCGCGTCTCATTCCCTCTCCCAAAATCTTCCCTCTCCCAAAGTCCCCCCCGTCCATTCTTCCAAAGCGCATGTCCGACGGACCGGTGTTGGTGGGACACGATTGATTGTTGAGACTCCTGGAATGGTGGGAAGTGAGTCTGGCGTGTTGGTTGAGTTGGTGTGAGACGCATGATACGGATGGCGAGGTATGCCATTGACCGGCGGTCGCACGGGCTAATGGTAGGTCGAAATAAAAACACGGCTGCCAGGCTGGTATTGCACCCATTAACGACCCATTCTCAACGTCCACGGGTAGATTGCTCTGCTCCAACTGCGCAATATGCTCGGTGCCGACACTGGTGGCCGCGGGGGGGCAGTGTCGCAGTGATGGCTGTGTCGAGCGGGTTATCAGAAGGTGTGGTTGGCGTAGGTAGCACAACAGTGAGATGCCGGACAGTGAGATGCCGGACAGTGAGATGCCGGACAGTGAGATGCCGGGTGCGGTACTGACAAGTACCTAATCACAACAGTCCTGCGCCCCGAGGGGAGTTCGCTAGGGTGCGTCCAGGGCCTCCACGCAGCTCGGATGGCGGGCAGGATGGGCTGATTTTATCGGATGCCAGGAACTGCCGGTTCAGTTTCGAAAATTTGGTGACGGCGTGAGGTGTGGTTGGTATGAAACTCTTGGAATGGAATCCATGGATCATGGGCCCGGGCCCGGGGGGCTGGGAGACGGTCCCAATGGAGTTGCCGAATGGTTTTGAACGTTTACCGGGCTTCCCAGCTTCTGCAGTCCAAGGTCAGTCAGTCACTCAGTTAGTCAAAGACTCAAAAGAAATTCAAGCAAACGAACAAGACGGAGCTGGATGGCAGAAGGGGGTGGGTATGAGGTCCGGACTTACGTTGTCATTGCCGGTACCGGAAGATAATGTGCTTCTTCTTAGCTCACCGGCGACCAAATCCGGTGAGGAGCACCCATCCACGACGGTGACGTGAGAGGCTTCGGATGGGATAAGAACACTCGCTGAGACCTCCGACACGAACAAAGAAAATCAAAAAAGTCAAACCACCCTCGCCGCCTAGGCCGCTGCCTCCTCCACGCCAAACCCATCCATCACCTCCGCCACCACCCCTCCCTGCACCAGAATGGGGTCTTGGCAGTATAAGACCGCCCTGGGGAGGCTTCCGGCCGAGGGTAGCTGGGCGTTAGGGTCGGAGTCACGGCCGGGGGAGTCTCGGCGGACCCAGTCAAGGATCCGCACCTCCGCGCCCGGCAGGGCGTCCGGCCCTATAACCCAGTTACCCCTGGCCTGGCCTAAGGCCCCAAGGATGAGGCCCCCGACGGCCCGGCGAACGTTTTGTCGGGCGACGAGGACGGTGTCCACGCTTGGGGTACCCGGCTGGGTACCCCCCGTGGAGGGCATCACCCTCGCCGCCCACGGCCGGACCGCGGCGGCACACCACCTGGCCAACAAAACCAGCAGAACAACACCGCCGACCACCACGTGCAGGCCCGGGGTGGTGGGGATCACCCACGAAACGAATGTCGAAAAATGAAATTCTAATTAGAATATATATGTCAGTTTCAATCCCCCAAAAATCGAAAGGATGGCCTAGGGTAGGATGGGACGGTTGATGAATTGGCGGTCAATCAGTTTTGGCCGCAGATGATAAGGGGGTGATTAGGCCAGAAGATGGCGAGCTTGTCGGGATGACAGGGTGACAGCGAGGCGGTGACATGAACAAAAGTAAAGAAAGGAAATCTGAACTTACGTAGGGGCATCGTAAAGTCATAGGTGATAATAGGGGTCCGTTGGGGAAGGGGAAGACAGTTCTAAGTGAGGACGAAATTGCAGATACTTATGTTGAAGCAGATGCTTTCCATCAGGAAAGAGCGGATATCTTGTCGTTACCAGGGCAAGAAGAGTCCTGGCACCCGAGAGACAATATTCACAACGCCTCGGCAGGTACATTTGACACACTAGAAAATTGGAAGTAGCTTCCTGGACCGAGTCTGATTTGGGCATCTGTGTCAGAGGTATTGTACGGTTCCAAGTCATTAATTAGGTGTCTTAACACGGCCTTCTAATTATGCAAGATGCATGAAAGCGAGCGATCCGCAGAGGTGTAGCCCAGCCATCAATGTGAGGCCATATAGCACCGCGCTGTTCACTGATGTACGCGTTGGGAACACGACCGACATCTTTGAATAATATTAGCTAGTCTTCGGAGCCGGACAAGAAACATGCCTTTCCTCCTCAAGCAATCAACTCCGTTCTTTTTGCATCGTGTTGACAGCCAGAGGGTCGCCATACGTCTGCCCAGAGGGGAACCGCTGTTCTTGTGGCCGTTGAAACTGGCTTGTGTTTGTCGTCAATGTTTTGGTCTCTCCGTTGAGCCGATTCTTCTCCCTACTTCAAACCCAAAGTGACCACCGTAGGATATTACCGTGTGCACGTGTTGTCAGTGCGTTTCTGGGTTTGTTTTGTTTCAATACTATACCACTCAATATATTAATATTGCTTCCAAAGCACTCGGGGAGGATCTCCTTGGTAGCCCAGCCATCTTCTCTGCATCATGGAGAGGTGGGAAATTGGACCCAATCATCCTAGAATCGAACTAGTGATATTTACCTTTCACCAAAACTGTGGATCACCTCGCTTCCCGAGCCTAGTCGCGAAGCTGCGGCGGGCCGGTGACCAAGAAAAAACAGTACCACACTACCCAGGTAACACGGTTCAACTTTCTAAACCACCTACCTGACAACACCTTAACACTAAGGGAGGGTTCCCGAACGATGCTAGCGTTCAGTACCACTAGGATTGATACTGGAACGACATTGGCGACTAACGTGTGATGATAGAATCCACGGCCTTTGTTGTCGTTATCCCGCCTCCTAAACTGCACGCTAATTAATTACTGTTCTCAGCCGCTGTCCGGAAACATTCCCGAAAGCCGATGCTTTAGTGCATTCATGTGGGGAGAATGAGAGAATTTTGAGCACTATATTACTAAGTACCTACACATAGACAATTAGGTACGTACAGATTTCGTACGGACATGCATGCATCCATCTGCCTTCATTACCTACTAATTTTAGGTAAGGTTCCAGCGCCCGCATTAGTTACGTAGCACTATTCCGAATCCCAAAGTCTAAATCAAGATCGCATGGACCTCTGAATTCGCTAAGGTTGTGTGCATTGAGTCTTCAGTCTTATGAGTAACGTTAGGTACTTAATAGGCGTCGTGCCACATTCACGTTCCCTCATTTTCAAAACATTTATGTCTCGACAATTTTCTCCACCCCACAACCCCCCCCACCCGCCCATTCCTCAAGTCAAAGGAACCATCAACGCTTCAGCGTGTTCTTCCGCTTTACATATCGAAATGAGTACCCCGTACAGACCCGAGCGGGACCAGTTCTGGGCCGTCTATCCCAGCAACCTGCTGTCTCCCACTCAGCCTCGTCCCCATTGCGGCATCGGCACGAGCAGCACGGACATCGATACGATGCGACTTAATATACTTTAACGCCGGCAGGAATTATTGGCTTTAGGTTTCCACCTGGGGGAAAAACGTTACCAGAACCAGCTGAAGTGGGCCGAACCGGGAAAATATGAAGTCCAACAACTGATTAAATCCCGTGACAAAAGACTCATGTGGCACTATGGGTATCCGCGGTCTTTCCGTCCGGATCCGACGGCCAACGCACTCGGGGAGAAGTACGAAGAAGATCAGCCCAGCCAAATCATGACCTTGGTGACCTCCAAGATGCAAAGCGCTGTTCGACCCGCGAGACAGGGAGAAATGACCGTTATGGAACTCATTCGCTCGCTTGAATGGGGAAACCAATAGCTACCATAAACACCTCGAACCGGCAAGGGTTGTCAGATCTGTGGCCGCTATTCTGTATGACCAGGAGTGGACAGGCAATCGAATCCAGGGGATGATTCCTGACTACACAGCCCGAGACAACAGTGCCGTGATGATCGCCTGTTTCACCCCTTACGCCTTCGAGATGATGCTTCTAGTCGACTACGGCTTCCCGCCTCACCCAATCCAGCCGCCATCGTTCCACCATCGACAAGCATTTTTCGCCCTCCCTTACGCCCAGTTCGAGGAATTTGCCCGGTTTCTAGTCGCTACGGCTAGTCGCTGGAACGAGGGACATATCTCTGGTCTAGGCTCGTGGGAGAAGATTGCTCGGAACATGATGTTTTGGACCCGCACGCTCGACGTATCGGATGCTGCTACTCTGATATACTATTACCACACCCGCCGCCAACCGGTCGACAGCGAAGATGCGAAACAGGGCTGGACGGGATACACCGGTGTTTTGCAGGAGATGATCGACGAGATCCCAGCCCGCGGCACCGATCGCCTGGCCCGCAAATTGTCGCTGGACATCAATGTTCTCATCCCAAAGTTTGTTTCGGATACGTGGAAGCGGGATGTTTTGTGGTGCAAGGCTAAGCGCCTGGTGGAGGACTACCATTTGTCGGTCCAGTATTTGATCCCGCTCAGCAGTTTACGAGATTATATGAAGAAACGGTCTGCCAAAAGGTAGGCAAATAAGCATATGGTTTTATGGGAGCGAGTGAATGGCCAGAGATGAAGGTCCTCCAGAGTCACTTGTGATGCTGTGACTACCTGAAGATACTAGATAGGTTTATAAACCGCCAAAACTAGCTTAACTAAGAATGGTGTTGTCTTTAATTATTTCCTCCAGTTAGTCAATTCCAGATGGTCGTTGTTACAAGCTGTGAATTATTAGTGCGTGGGAAAGGAAGATAGAATGGACTGCGCGGTCTTGACAGAGAATTCTACGTGGTATTATTCCTCGCGGCCAACATTCCCAGGATATCGACATCAAGGTACCCCTCCAACCTGCAACACGGGCGTAACCACCTTACACAACTCCAAACATCGCCCAAGAACCAATTCAGCAATTGCAATCCCTAACTGCCTTGACATATGAACAACCCTCATTACGCAAAAGCTAACCGCAAGGTGTTTCCAGACCCTCTTGTAAGAAGAGAACAGAGAGACAAAATGAAAATTACGTGTTGCGGGTTGCCGATTTCCAAGAGAAGAAGTGAGCGGGTGACCGTAGACAAGATAAATAAAAATGTACCCGTTGCCTTCAATCCAGCCTGTTAAACTCGGCATTGCGCCCCGTGAATCTAGGTTTCCTTAGCGATGGTTTATTATATCATTTTATCCTGATATCGTTGGTGGTATCGTGGGGGTGGAGAACGTGGGCTCTGACTGTATGAGACGGTCTAATAACAAACACACAAGTTAGCATCCGCCATCCACTCCATAACGTTAATCAGGTTCTTCTAGCCGGGAAAGGCAAGGTAACTGACCACATCCCGCTGTACCAAGATCTCCTCCTGCGATTCCCCCGCATCCGAGTTCGACCCAGTCATCGACTTGACCGCATTGTTGTTGCTGTCGCGTCGTATCGAGGCCAGCGCGACGCTCTTGGCACTCTTGACGCTTTTCCGGGTTCCGAAGCTCGACATTTTCGGTTGTATCGCGCGGGAGCCCAGGGATCCGACACCACCAGCGGAACGGTTCTCTGAGGCGCGGGCGCGGGCGGTGATGAGCACTTTGAGTGCAGGTAGGGTGCCAACGATGACGGCTGAGAGGTTGGGGAGGTTTAGTTAGTCGAGCGTTTCTTTAGGGCTAGTGGGGGTAAAGACGAGAACGGGTCATTTCGAACATACATATGGACGCGGCCAGCGTGGACCAAACGAGGAGCAGTGTCAGGTTGACAAACCCCTCCTTGGCCAAGCTCTGGTTCGCGCGGATGACGGCGAACACAATCATGACAAACCCCAAGCTGAAGACCCCGACCAACCCAATCTTTTGCTTCATCGACACATTGATGTTGTAGATCAGCCGCAGCGGCATGGCCATGATGCACAGATCCGTAAACACATCAACAGCAGTGCTGAACAACACACTGAAGTTGCTCAACCACACCTTGTCCGGCCCCGCGCACATGTTGAAGGTGAAAAAGTTGCGGACATCTGTTCCACAGGATAAGACTAGCGTCGTGACACATCCGCCATAGGCCAGGAAGGTGAATGCCGCCAGGCCGAACCAGAACCGGCGGTACCAGTTTAGATCGCGGAATAGACGCCAGTAGAGAGACAGGAAAGCTCCCTTGACGGACCAGAGGACAGTCCAGAAGAGGATGGTGATGGGAAACTGGTAAAGGAGGTATGATTCGGTATGGTTGATGATGACCTCCGCCGAGGTCAAGGGGATCGCGCCGGTCAGGATGCCAGTGATGTAGTAGAGACTCGGCAGCTGTATTGTTTCGAGGACACAGAGACCGAGTAAGGATGCCAAGGCGAGGAACAGCCAGCAGTCTTCGAAGGGTGCTACCCGGCTGGTCGTGGGAGAACGTAGACGGATGAAAGTACGCAGCGCGACGAACAGCGCGGCGACGCCGAAGCAGACCCAGATCAGGACCAGGATCGACTTGTGAGAAAGGGATCCGACGTTGTCCGGGTCGGTGGTCTGGGCGGTGTTGTCTGTGGGCGCCATCGCGGAGGGGTTGTGTCGCCGCTAACGGTCACAAGTTGTGGTCAAGCTGGGTGTGGCGGTGGCTTTCGTCCCGTCCGGATATCGACGGCCGCGTGTGTCTTCGAGTTCAACATGACCCGGGTCTCGGACTACTCGAGGGTCGCCAAGTCGCCAGGGCACAGAATGTCTTCAACAAGGGAGCCTGGACAAAGCCCAGCAGGGCAGAGGGGAACGAACGGGACTGAGATCCCTTTTTGTATATCTCGCGACAACAGCTTAACCCGAGCGTGGGGTTCCATCCAGTCTGGTTATCACACTTTTAAACGAACTTCGCCCCCCCTCCTCTTGCCGGTTCCACAAACCCCTCTCAGCACCCGTCCATAATGGCTTGATATAGGCTAACGGCCGTGGAACATTGAAGTCTGTTGGGTCGTAGGCCGGGAACGGATCAGGGGATATCAGGGGGTATCGAGTGCCGAGACACAGCGGGCTGACCAACGGTAAGGCACGCCATCCGCATGTCCATCCCGGCTACCGCCGTCACACGCTCCCGCAGCGTCTGGACGTTGTCATAGGCTCAAATGTGGAGGCCGGCATCCAATACTTTCACGGCGCCCATTGCGGGGTGTCTTGGGCTGGTCCCTGAATGGCCGCATTGAACGAGGGGAGGAACCGAGAGGTCAAAGGCCACCCTCGCTGTGGCCAAAAAAAGCGGCAGACTAAAACAGATACCGTCAGTCCCAAATCTTAACAGATTCTGATTGATTGACTATTTTTTTGTCGATTTGACTGTTTTCGATTTATTCTTTCTTGTCTTTCATTTTTTTTTTAATTTTATTCTTTTTAACCCTTTTCACTCACTTTTGTAGAAAACTAAGTTATCAAAGGTCTGGACCACAGAGAGGCCACCAAAGTCTTCTCCCAGGGGTCCGGTCGAGACCAACGTTTGTTGGCTCGCTTGGGGACTGAGGGCGTACCTGAACCGCACCTGAGTCCCCGCGCCACACCACAAATCGCGGTTTTGAATATCTGATTGGCCGTTTTTTGTGCTCTCCTCAGTGACTTGCCCACCAATGGGGAAGCGAGGGAACCTGGGCTGCACGAGGAAACCTCCGTGATCACGAGGTGGGCGGCAACGGAGGGTTGCAAAGGGTCAAATCGCCGGTGCTATAACAGTATCATTCGAGCCCGTCATGAAGATGTTGCGAATTACGTCGGTGGATTGACTGATTCCAATTCCCCCCTCAGTCCGCCACCCCGCTCTCGTGGTCTGCTCGAGTTTGCGAATGGCAAGTCGTGGGCGATCGGTATTCGACAACCGCGGCTGTAACTCTGCGTGCTGCTAGCCACTGCTGGTCGCTGCTGGGCCTGCTGGCTTCTGCTGCTGCTGCACGCAATCGCATGCTCGCTTCCACGCCCGCGGCGTTGCGTCCATCCAACGTTGGTTCTCGGGAATGCCCCGGCTGTGCGTCATCTTTTTGTTTTTGCATTCCTCTTACTTTTTATTTCAGTGCACAAGCGAGACGGGCAAGGTCGGCGCGGGGCCTCCATTTCTCCGGATTGTTCCTTCCTTCCTTCCAGGTTTTCCGTGGAAGCTGCGTGTTGTTGATTGACGGACCAGGTTGTTGCCCAGCCACTTGCCTGTTTTAATCAACTTGCAAGCTCGCAAGCTGGAAGGAACTCCAGCCGGCGCCCACTAGATCCACGGGTCCGTGGCAGTTACGTAAGCACAACGATTATGT